TCGGTCACACGAAGTTGAGGCGGCCGTCGGTTGGTATGGCTTCTCCATCCCCGCCGCCGCAGCGAGACTCATGCCGGCCGAAGCAGCCGCCGGGCGAGGTTTTGCTGCTCGAGCGGCCGTACCTCGAGGTGGAGATACCTCGGTACGAGCATGCGTTTGTTGCGCTCATTGCGCCGGGTCTCGCCGGCACTGAGCGGAGTGCAGTCTACAACCTCCTCTGGTCCAGCGCGAAGCGGTTTGCAGAAACGCGCCCCAATCTCGACATTCTCTTTGCGGAGGCTGTCGTCGAAGCCCATGCGCACGACAGGGTGCCAATCGAGGAGGCTGGCGGTGCGATGTGCCTCTTCATTTCTCGTGCCCACCGCAACCCGCGAATCGCCCAGGCAGCATGCCGGCGTCGCGGAGCATGGTCCAGCCCTGATGGCATGTACAGGTGGGTCGAAGCGGCGCTCGTGGAACAGAAAACACACCCTTCCAAGTTCCCTCTCTCGCCAGCAGGACCTTCCCTGACTCGCGCCGTCGAGGTGTCTGGCTTTGAGGAGGGGCTGCAGAGCTTTGTTCGGCGCACCCGGGGGCCATCGTTCCGCGCCTTCAACCCTTCTGTCCACACTGATGCGGGGAACACCGCTGCGTGGGTGGCGTTCCGCGTATCAAACAACACGCGCTGCTCCGGGACCGACATCTGGAAGTACAAGGGGCTCGACGAGATGCTGCTCTCCGACGTGGCGACCTGCGAGCTCGGCTCGGACCTGCGGCCAGCGCCAGGGTCGTGCCGTTACCTGGAAGTGAGCTTCGAGGCCCTCGCGGCGCAAAGTGTGCACGAAGGCGGACCTTGGACCGCGGCGGCGGGATTCATCCGAGGCTTTGAGGACCCGCGCCTCTTCCGCCTCAACGGGCAGCTCGCGCTCCTGTTCACGGTGACGGTCCACGTGTGGCGCGTCGGGGCTCCGGGCTGCCGTGTTGCCGTCGCCCTTCTCGACGACGAGCGGCACCATGCGACGTCAGCGGTCCTGCTGTCTGTGGATCCGAGGGCCGACAAGGCCTACAGGGCCTACTCGGCCGCGCGCTTTGAGAAGAACTGGGTGCCTCTGGTGGTTGGCGAGGCGCCGAGCCAGACGCTGCTAGTGGCCTACTCTCTCAAGCCGCTAATTGTCCTCCGGCCATCGCTGCGCGACGGCTCGTGCGCCCGGGTCATCCTCTCCCTTTCGCAGAACGGGGCCGTCGCCCTCACCGAGGCGCCGCTGCTCGAATCGGCGGCATTCGCATTTGGCGAGGAATCCGGGAGTGGCCACGACGAGCTTCGCGGAGGCTCGCCGTTTGTGCGAGTCGCGGACGGTCGGTGGCTGGCGCTGGCACACGTGCGGCACGAGCTCTACACAGGCCCGCTCTACACCCACAACCTCGTCGAGCTGCAGCCCTCGGGGCAAAACTTGGAAGCCCACGTCGCCTCGCCCTTCCGCCTACCGTCATCAAACACCACCGAGGCGAGGAAGCAGGCGATTCAGATGGTGATGGGGCTCGCGGTGCGCTCCGAGCCGGCCGGCGACGGCTCGACGACGCTCCTCGTCTCGTACGGCGTCGGAGATTGCAGCGCCCACCTCGCCGTCGTCCCGCTCGAGCACGCGCGCAGTCCGCCCAAACACGAGCATGCCGCCGGTCCGAGACGGCGCGTGACCATGCCGCTGGGAGGGGCGCCCGCGTTGTTGTGACACACACGCGGGTACGCAGAACACACACGATTCGGCGTGTGCGCGCTTCCCCCGTAGTACGGAGCTAAAGTGTCTAGAAAATTATCGAAGCGGGACGGTTATGACCGCGCAAGACATAAGGGTGGCTAAGGGCTCTGCCCGCAAGGCGCCCGCGTCGCAGACGCGGTACCATTGGCAACTACATGACATACCCCCACACGAAAAAAATATAATTAAAATTCGTGCATATCGTGGGATTTTCGTTCGGCGACGCAAACTTCTCGTCCGGCGGTCAACACGGCGCCCGGGCATGCAGAAAGGATGCGTCCCTAATCCGTCCATTTGGGGGGACGACCGACGGCTTTTTGCGCCACTCCCCTCTCTCATCGAGCATGAGCGGGGAGCCGGTGATGGTCGACAATACTGGCCGTACGTGGCCGCGCATCACCAAGGACAACGCTGCGCAGCACCCGTACCCCAGCCTGCGCCACTGCAAAGAGCGAGGGCCCGGCACGGCGCCCTACTGCTGGTACCTGCAGATTTCCGGCGAGCCGACCTGGGACCAGGAGTATACGTCATTCAATAAAATGAAGAAAAAGTGGGACGGCTGGACAGGCGGGAATGAACGACGTGCGCAGGCCCGGCGCGAGAGCGCGCAGCAGCAGGAGACGGATCGCCAAGGCCACCGTGACAGCTATCGTGATGCAGCTGCTGCTAGTCGTGCTGCCACCAACGCGGCTTCCACGGCGCTGTTGCCCCACGAAGAGGCGCAGGCTTCGATCCTCGAGTCACGCGCAGGCGCAATGGCGGCAACCCTGTTGGGAGCAGTGGGCGCCGATGGGCTCGTTCCCTTTAAGCCGATGGTGTTGGGCTTTGAGCGGCGCCGACATGAGCAGCTGCAGATGTGCCCGCAACTCTGGGGGGTGGCGTATAAATTGGCGGGGGAGGACGGTGCACGTATGATTGTTGACAGCCCTGAATGGTTGCACAATTTCCAGTGCCACGGCCCGCACTGCGAGCAGCCAATTTTCGAGCCTCACACGAGCCCATCGGATTGCCGGCTCATGCACTTGTGCGACGGACGTGGCGAGGCAGATGCAAGGGACGCAGCAGCTCTGCCTTCATTGCCGCGTTTGCCACCCATCAGCCTACCTGTGCCACATCTCGAAGACGTCAAGAGCCGCTTTGAGTCAGGAAGATCCAGCGGGATCATGTACGACGCAGAGGCGGAGGCGGCACGCCAGGATTGGGACGGCGAGCATGGCAAAGCAGAGCCCTTCTATGCTGTGTGGAACGGCCCCAAGCTTGACTGGCCAGCGTACCTCAAAGCTGAAGTCTTCGAGGGCGACCCGTCAAGGTGGCTAGAGATTCAGGTGCAGTTGTTAGCAGAGGATGATGCAAGCGGACTCTCTCGAGAATGGAACTGGCTTCGCTCGCGGTGGGATGACACAAAGGCATTGACCTGCGATCAAACTCTCGAACCCAATTCAATCTTTGCAGATTGGCGGCTAGAGGGTATGGGTGGACGAGGGAGTGAGGGGCTACTTCCTCCGTGGTTGCTGATTCGGCGCGTGCTCGCCATCATGGAGTCACGGTTGCAAATGCACGGGCGCCGGCTGTGGTGGCGTTCCGTCTTCTACGCCCCACCTGGCTTTGCAAAGGAGTCTGACTCGCGACACGCCGAGTGCAATCTGGCCCTCATTTCCCACATGCAGCTGGCAGGCCTCGGCGAGCGGCGATTCGACATAGAGCGGGCACAGTACCTCGGCAACGAGCTCAACCTCGTCGGTGGCATGCCCCTCGAGCGACAGCGTGCCAACTGGCATGGCTGGAACGGCCGATGGGGTGAGGCATTCTTTTCGACGGGTGGATCAAGTTCGAACTTCTGGAACAATTATCTTTTCAACAGCCGCCACAGCATCGAAACGCCGTGGTGGTGCCCGCAGCGAAACCAGTGGATTGGGCACCGGCCCCTGGGCGGCTGCGACACGTGTGTGCTACCACCAAACTTTGCGTTGCCGTACCTCTGCACGAATGACGGGCGGACCAAACACCACATTCTCAAGGCGCTCGTCGACCTCAACCAGCGGCAAGGCGCACTGTGCAAGCACCACTACCATCCCGAGATGGCTATCCTCGAGCACCTCACCTATGATAACTACGTCCACGATTGCTGCCGTCGGGCCGCAGAGGGGCCGCCATCGAAGTGGAGGGACGCCGAGCGATCCCTGCAGGAAGAGATGGCGCGGCGGAACCCTCTGCGGCCCTCCACTTCCTGGCAACCTAGGTATGGCCCCACCCGCTGCTGCGGGCTTGAGATGCGCTCTGCTACCACCGACCAGCCCTCCTGGGCCTTTGCTGCGCCGGGATACTGCTGTGATCATTGGCAGCTCGGGCGCGCAACCATGACCGTACTTGGCTTTCGACCAGTGCCAGGCGGCGAGACGGAGCAAGGGATTACATACGCAAAGTGGATGCAATGCTCTGGAGAACGCTCTTCTCGTCAACATGCCAGTGAGCGCATCTCTGAGCTGCATCAGCACGTGATCTTGCCGAGCTTCGATCCGAACGGAGAGTCACGAGTGGACCGCATCGCGCGAGCCGTGCTCAACGCGCCAGTACCAGCTGTGGTGCCTACCGTGGCCGCTCATTCCTCTCTACAGTGCATGGAGTGTGAGGAGTGAGGATTGGTGTCCCATTAACATTATGACTTACTTACCTCTTGTGACTAGTGAGTGCTTCTTTTCGGCGCCGCCGCGCCGCCCGCCCGCGCGCCACCCCTTTTGCGCAGCAACACCTTAAACTTCATGGCCCTCCAAATTCGGGTCGGAGCGTAGCGGAGTGGGACCCGAGTTTGAAAAAGGCGACGGACGCTTGCGTGTCCTAGCCTCCAAAAACGCCTCCCCGGCGCAGAGGGGCCCCCGGAGGGACGCTCAACCGCCCCACGCCACGCCGCTTGCGGCGGTCCTCTTCCCTGCTCGCGGGCGCCAGAAATATTTTTTTCCGCGGCCCTTGCCCTTGCGGCCCTGCCTGCGTGCTTGAGCTGCCACGCCCACTCCACACGCCACAATGCTGCTCCTATTGCTCTCGTCGCCCAGCTGTTCGACTTCGCAAGCACTCACGCTGCGGCGGCTGTCTCACGCCGTGACGGAAGCCTGCGGATCCATCGCGCTAGATCGGGATGGCTGGCTCGAGCCGGAGGCGGTGGCGGCGGCAGCGGCGTGGGCCATCGGCGAACTGAGGTCGGAGGGCGGGTCGCAGCAGCCCGAGACATCGCTACCTCCTTTGAAGCCGCAGGGCGAGTTCCGGTTCGCTCCAGCGTCCACCGCGGCCACGATGCGGCTTGCGACAGAGGAGCGATACAGCGCGGTGGCAGACGCAGCGCACGGCGGCGACGGCACGGCGCAGCACACCCTCGGCCTATTGCACTACTCCGGCGTCGGAGGTGCGCAGAGGGACGAGCGTGAGTCCGCCTACTGGCACGCTGCAGCCGCCGTCGCGGGCAACGTCGAGGCTCGCCTCCCTCTAGCCCTTTGCCGCAGCCCTGTGTGCCCGCGCGCAACTTCACCGGCCACGTCGCGCAGGCGCTCGCCACGCTGGGCGGCTGCGTGCGGCGAGGCGTCGGAGCCGAGCTCGACGAGGCGGCCGGCCTCGACATCATCACTGCATGTGCGGCAGCTGGCTCGCCCGTCGGACTGGTCAAGCTGGGCGTCTGCCACGAGGACGGCGCTGCTCGTCGTAGATTGCTCACAGACCGCCCAGCCTGCTCAGCCAGCGGAGACCCTCGTCTCCCTCTCTCGACGGCTCCTCCCGTCGGCAGCACTCTCCTCCTCCTTCCATCGCAGGCGATCTGCCCCGCAAGCCCGCTGATGCGCAGCGAGCAGCCGCCCTCTTCGAGTCCGCAGCTTCGGTGTGGGTCGGAGGCGAGCCACCGAGCGAGAGCGAGTCGGAGAGCGAGGCGTCTCCTCCGCCGCGCCGCAGATCGGCACTCGCCCTCTTCCAGCACGGCTTTGCTCAGGCTCGCCTCGGCAGCCGTCGCACTTCCCCGCGGTGAGCCTGGCTGGTGAGCCCGGCTCGCCTCTGTGCAGGTTTACGGCATCGGCACGCGGCGGGACGTCGAGGCGGGCGCTGCGGCGTGGCTCTCTGCGGCGAAGCTGGCCCCGGACGACGGTGCGGAGGAGGCAGCGTGGGGCCTCTACTCCGAGCAGGACGCCAGCCCAGCCGTGCAGCCGCGAGGCCGGGGCTGTAGGAGAGCTCTTCACCCGTCCCCGCCCCTCCGAGCAGGGAAGCCTCTCGCCGGCGCTGCGCCGGCGCGTCCACCCCGACCGCTGCTTGCGCCTCTCCGCCGCCCTCGAATACGCTCCTGCTGTCGCTGAGCTTGCGCGCCGCGGCGAGCGGACGGGTCAGCGCGACGAGGCCGCGGAGGGGGAGCGGCGGCGCAAGCGCTTCACGCGGCAGGAGCTCAGCAAGGCCCGCTCGTGGACCGGTCGCGACGAGAGGGCGGAGGCTTATCTCGAGCAGCTGTTGGGTGGGGGCGGCTTGTGAAGCAGCTCAGCCGGTCGACTCTCGTTGATGCGGTAAGTCCTGTGTCGCGGTGTTTACTATATCTGTATCTCGGCGAGCGTCTCATGAGCGAGGAGAAAGCCTCTAGAGAGTCGACCGAGAGACCTCCAGTGTCCAGAGAACTGCGAAACTGGGGGCGTCTCCCACCAACCAGAGGGACTTGCGGAGTCGAGAGATAATATATTAAAAGAACATACTTTACACACACACACACACACACACACACACACACACACACACACACACACACACACACACACACACACACACACACACAAGACAGACTACACACTCGATAACAATGTTTTAATTAAGTAGCCTACTTTATTGTGGTTTGCACCGCTCTGCGCCTCCGTGGCCTGCTCGCACCGGTTCGTTGGTTTGGGAGGCCTGCGATCAAGGACGTCACGTCGTCGCGCTCCGGCGGAAGCGCTGCATGTCGCTCTGCAGTGTCGGCCCCGCCGCACCGCCGCTCGAGAGGGGCGCGAGCTGCGCCCAGCCGAGGTAGTTGACATCGAGCGAGGAGACCTCGACGAAGTGCGAGAGCGGCGGGGGGGGCAGCTTGCCGCTCGGGAGGGCCCGCGCGGCGGAGCGGAGCAGCTTGCGCGGGTCGAGCTCGACGGTGGGCGCCATGCCTCGGAACTGCGCCGTGTCGACGAGGAAGCCGTTCGCCTGCGTGGGCCAGCACAGGCGGCGAGGCCGGGTGAGCCGGTGCGGGGCGCGGCGGGGTGCGGTGGGGAGGGGCGGTCCTGCAGCAGGAAGGCCGCCTCGTGTGGCTTGAGGAAGAGCCGCCAGTCGTGCACCCGCGGCGGCACGAGCTGCAGCACCTCCTCCGCCAGCACGATCGCCGCGAGGTACGACTTGTACGTCCGGTTGATCGTGTCAAAGACCAGGACGCCGCCCGGCTTGAGCACACGCCGCACCTCGGCCACCGCGGCCGGCAAATCGAGCAGGTGCTCCATCACGTCCGCCATCAGCACGCCGTCGAAGGAGTCGTCCGGGAAGGCCGACAGGTCGTAGGCGTCGCCCGCCGCAAACACGGTTCGGTCGGCGAGCCCTCGCGCGCGCGCGTGGGCGCGAGCCTCGTCGAGCGCGCGCGCGGCCGGGTCGATCCCGGTCATCTGGTAGCCGAGCGAAGCGAGCGCGACAGTTGCGATGCCGCCGCCACACCCGACCTCGAGGTAGGCGCCAGGCCGCCCAGGCGGCAGCCCGAGCTGCTGTCGCCAGACGCGGTCAAAGTAGGGGATGCGCGCCGTGTTGAGGAGCTGCAGGGTGGCGAGCTGGTCGGTCGGGTCGTCCGAGTGCCAGCTCGAGCCGACTGTATCGTCGTCGTAGACGTCGTTGTCGATGCTCGAGCTGCCCGCTGCGATCGGTTCGATTCGGCTCGGAAACTCGAGCGGCGGCACGAGCTCGGGGAGCCGCTTCCCGACGGCAGTGATGGCGCCGCGCGCAGCCCGCACGCCGCCTCCGAGCACGGCGGCGGAGCCAACTCGAGCGGCGACCGCCTTGGCGAAGCGCGTCGCCATAGTGTCTTCGCGCGCTGCCGGGAAGCGCTGTCCGGAGGAGTCGAAGCCTGGCAGATTTTTTTTGACTCTCGTACCCCTTGGGTGTCTTTCCCACCCTCTCGAGGTTCTCGAGGTAGATATCCTTTGGCCGCGTTGGGTAGCGAGGATTTCCCACCCCTCTCGTGTCTTTTTTCTTTCTGTCGTCCTGCGTTTCTCGCGTTTACTAGCTCCGAGTAGAGGGTGCGCTCCGCTGCTATACCCTGGATCCTAGGTAGGTGGATGGAGATAGAGACAGATGGCTGGGCAGCCTCACTCAAAGCGGTGTGTCCAAAGGTCCAAACGGCTACTCGCGCGCGTGACCGCTCGCTCGCGCAAGGGCAAGAGCAATACCCGCCTACAAGGCTACAAGCCCCTGTCCAGCAGACTGGCACGAGAACAGAAGAAAAAAGAAGGAACCGTGTATCAACACTGGGAACGGGGCTGGTCGGAGCCGCCTTAGCGAGTAGGTAGGTAGGTAGAAAGGTGAAGAACAGCCAGGCTCGGACTGGACACCAACGCGGTATGGGTGGACGCTGGACAGATGATGACGACACGCACGAGCGACACACAGACACAAACAGGCTCACAAGACACACAGCCAGCTGGCTCCCACACACCCTGAGTCGGCGTACACATAACTCAGGCCCACATCCTCCCTGTCGCCCCCCCCAGCACTCCACGGTGCCAAGGGCACAAACAAGGGCACAACTCAAACAACAGACGACAGGGAAGTGACATGTGAGGCTAGAGCAGCTTGCTCCACCTCTAGCAATCTCACCGGCCTGCGAGGCACGGACGAGACCGTATGTGGGGTCTAGTGAGGTGTCTATGGACGCTCTCCTCATGGGCTAGCTTAGCGACTCCTGCGACAAGAAGAATTTTACCCCGCATTGGGAGAAAAGAAAATGCGGGAAATAACGGCTTCGCTCCTGCTTCCCGCGAACGATAGGCCCGAGCCCCAGCCCGGAAGCCTCATGATGTCTCTGAAGCCCAGCGGGCTCAGCGACGCCCTGGCTGTCCTGCGCTCGTGGGACGGGCAGGCTGATGCCTCCGCCAGCAGCCGAGTCACGTCAACGCCGCCTCGCGCAGCGCTCGCGGCCGCCGCAGCGGTGAGGGAGGAGCGGCATGCCCGCTATCGCGATGAGATTCAGGTCGCCGAGGACCGCCGCGGAAGAGTGCAGGCTCCGCGGCCGCCAAAGGTGCGCGCGGACCGATCTGCCGGCGGCGGGAAACCAGCACAGGAGGCGCGGCCGCTGCCACCGCCAAAGAAGCCTTCGGTGCCACCGCCGGTCGAGTCGATGCTTCCGCAGCCGCCGTCACCGCCACTGGCCAACGGGCGCCCCGGCGGGCGCAAGCTGCGACGGCTGTCCGCGGTGCCCAACTATTCGGACGAGTGGTCGCCGAGCTCAGAGGAGGTGCAGGAGACGCAGCCGCCGCCGCTGCCGAAGCGGCCACTGCCGCCACAGCAGCCCATCGATTCGACGCCGGCGCTGCCTTCGCAGCCGCCGTCTGATTCGACGAAGCCGCCGCCGCCGCCGCCGCCAGCAGATTCGACGCCTGCGCCGCTGTCGCAGCCGCCAGCAGATTCGATGCTTGCGCCGCTCCCGCAACCGCCATCACCGCCGCTGGCCAACGGCCGGTCCACCGGCGCGCGCAAGCTGCGACGGCTCTCCGCGGTGCCCAACTACTCGGACGACTGGCGCGACCTCGCGCTCCCCGGCGACGAGGAGCTGGGAGAGCGGGCCACGTCGCGTGAGGCGCCGCCAAAGCAGAGCCGCCGCCGCACGAAGCAAGCGCCCACCCCTTTGACCGTCGATCGCGTGTCCTAGACGGAAGGCGCCACGCACAGAGGGTCGCTTTCGAGCACACAGTGTCGGGGCTGGACTCTCCAGCAGAGGCCACCGCTCGACCATCTCGCAACCGCCCGGACTGACTAGGCCCAAGTCGCAATATGTCCTGTCTGTGAGCTCTCAGGTGTAGTCTGTAGAGAGACTAGTACTGTGGCGTCCTAGGTAGGCGCTGCATCTTGTACTCTCTGTAAGGTAAGGTACGGTAAGGCACGGTAAGGTAAGGTAAGGTAAGGTAAACTTCTCCACACAGCACGCGCGCGCAACTGAGAGAAGGGCAGCGGTGAGGGGGCGCGAGCTTCATGTATCATGACGGCAAATCTCGATGCGAAGTGGAAGCTGAATTAGAAACAAGAAACCGATTTTCCGCCCCTTCGTCGATCTACGTACTCTATCGAGGCCTTGGCGTCTACGCCCTTCGCGTGCGCTTCCTGTCTGCCGACGAGAGGGGCACGGGCAGAGGAGTGCTCCGTGGCCTGGAAGAGGAACCAGAGCCATAGACTCTAGAGCGAACGTCTACTTTAGAGGAAGGAACCAGAGGACTCTTGGAACGACACGTTCAGTCAGCGCAAGGCCAAAGCCCAAAGGGAACCGGAGCACGAGGTGAGTAGATAGGATTTGTCCGAATCGCGACAGGTCTACAGCCCCTCTGGCCGTGTCGCGATTCGCGTGTCCCCGGCCGCGATTCGCTCCTATGCACCTGCAAAGAAAGAAAGAAAACACCGGGCCAAGGGAGGGATGGGAGGACGGCACGCCGCCACCACACAGGGATTTTAGGGGAGAAGTGTGGTATAAATAAATAAATAGAGCAGACAACCCCTGGTGGGATTAGGGCAGCAACCCGACGGGCAGACCCCGCCCCGCTCGGAGGCAGGGCTGGTGGATTAACGTTAACACGGTGTTGACACGTTAACGGTTAACACCACAGCCAAAGAGGTGTTAAAACGTGTTAACACCGCCCCTCGGGAGGTGTTGACCCGCCGTCTAGCATATTCACTTCACACCCGCAGCTGCGATTGCGAACATGTACAGGCCGGCCGCCTCCGGGTCCGCCACTCGCACGGTGGGCTCGCGTCCGGGAGAGCATCCGAGACCCGCGGTTGTCCGCTCGCTGGGCGCGACCTACATGGAAATCCACTGCACACAGATCTGTGCTTTTGGCGCCTATTGCTCGCTCTCTGTGCAATCGCAACGCCAGAGGCCGTGCTTGGAGAGTGTGTCGCGGTGCTGCTACGTCAGTGGATTGAGCCGCGACGCAGGCTCCATCGGTGAGCTGCGGCGGCGCACCGGCCGCTCCATGCATGCTCTCCGGCGAGCCGTCGCAAACGCGTCTTCCGTCCGCCCGTTTCATCGAGTTTGCCCGAGTGGTAAAATGCAATCGAATCTGCCCGAGTGGTCAAGTAAAACTTTGCCTTTCGTAAAAGTTGCCCGAGTGGTCTGTGGGAAAAAAACGAAAATCGAGACGGACTTCTTGAACGGCCGGGCAACATGTCTTCCTTACTATTATTAATTGATGCTTTTTGCACGGCTGAGCCCCCCCCCCCCCCCCCTCCCCCGCGCCCACTCCCTGCCCTCTCCCGCCATGCACTCCGTCAGAGCCCCCTCCCCTCCTGCACAACAGGAATTTTGACAATTAACAAGGGAAACACAACTCGAATGATGGGGTTGCCCATCCCGGAGTGGTTCGATTCCACACAAATCCGAGACGGTGATGGATGCGTCGTGGATGGTCTCAGGCCCAGTGAGGTAGTGCATCTGGCCACTCCGGATCCTGCTGAACAAGTTCCTCTTGTAGCTCGATCGGTCACACCGCCATCGCCGTCGGGGAGAGGGGGGACGACACTGCTTCGGCAGCGTGCACCTCGATCCTGTACCGTGTTTGTTATGACCCCCCCCCGATGAACACACCAGTGAGGGAGGGCGAGACGATCGAGGGGTCCCGTACCACGCGGAATCGGCCCTATCCAGTGCTCAAGTGCTCAACATGTACATGTCCCGTTCATTATTATCCCTCGTGCTCGACGCCCTCCTCAAAGTCGGCAATCGCTGCATCCACATCCTCCTCTTCCGCCTTTCGGTACTTCTTGAGCGCATTCTTCAGCGGCGTCTTGCCACAGTTCTCGTACAGCTCCTCGAGCTCCACCCAGCGCGTGTCGATGAATCCAGCGTCATTGCTGTCCTCTTTGAAGGTGCCTCGCGTGAGGTAGCACACGGCCTTGTCGGCAGCAGCCAGCCTGTTGCGCCGCTTCTTTGCGATGAGTTGCTCGGGCTCGCAGAAGCGCATGCCGAGCACCGCATCAATCTTGAAGCAGAATGTCGGCACGACCGCATCGTCCGCACCGCCACCTGCCAGCCGCGCCTGCCGCTGCGCCGCAGCCGCTTTCTGGCACTTGTAGCGGCAGCACATGGTGCGGTGCGCGTACTTGAGCAGACGGTGCGCGCTGCAGTTGGCGCAGTGGCCCTGGGAGTAGGGCGCGCGCGGCATTGACGCGGACCGAGGTATTTCTCGGGTATACCCGGTTTTTTGCAGGTATACCCGGGTTTTACCCGGAGCGTGTGTCAACACCGTGTTAACGGCTGTGTTAACGCTTGTTTTGGGACTGCCGTTCAACTGTGTTAACACCGACCTCTGCGCCAAGTGTTGGCACGATCTGTAGTCAGAGCTGCCCCTGAGGTGTGTTAATGTTAATCCACCAGCCCTGCTCGGAGGGCGTGCACCACACAGCACACAGACTTATCTAGGCACTGCACGGCTCCTCGGGATTTCTGGGGAGGTGCGTGCGTGCGTGTGTGTGTGTGTGTGTGTGTGTGTGTGTGTGTGTGTGTGTGTGTGTGTGTGTGTGTGTGTGTTTGTGTGTGTGTGTGTGTGTGTGTGTGTGTGTGTGTGTGCTCGCTCGCTCGCTCGCGCGCGCCGCTTGCGCGAGCGCGCGCGCTGCGCGAGCCGCCCTGCCCGCTGCGCTGCTAGGGTTGCGCTGCGGGAAGGGCTCGGCGGCCGTTCCTAGAACTCCTCGTCGCTCCCCTCGTAGAGCGAGGGCTCGTTGGACTCGAGGCGTGGGCCGCCGTCGTAGGGGTAGCGGGCGGCTCCGCGAGCGACGCTCGCCCAGTCCTTTTTTTGCTCTTGACCTCGCCGCCGCCGCCGCCGCGGCCGCGTCCGCCGCGCCGGTCTGCGCGCCGCCCGCGGCTCGTGCCGAGAAGTGTGGTGCTAGCCGTCGCGAGACGTAGTTTGTTTCTTTCCAGTGTACCTGTGTTAGTGCCAGTGGCAGTGCGCGCCAGTCCCGTGCCCAGTGTTGTGCGCGGGAGCTTGGAGCACTTGGAGTGCAGTTAGTAACCTCACATCCAGGGCCGGGGAGCTGAGAAGCGCACCCAGCGGGCCGGATGATCGGGATCGGGCTACGGGCTCCAAAAGCACAGGCGCCTTGTTGCCGATTTGAAGCTCACGAGCTCGCTTGCGAGCAAGGGCTACCGCCGACGCTCGCGGATCCGAGCTCCGAGTCGGCGTGGCTCGCGCATCCGGTTGGCGTGCCGCCCTCGCTCCCGCCCCCCACGCTGGCCCGGGGGCTGGCGTGTTGGAGCTGTTCGAAGGCGCCCGTCGTGTCAGGGGCGATGCCTTGTAGCCGGCGGTCGCGTTGCTCAGCTCGCTCTCGCTGGCCGCGCTCGTGGTGGGTGGGCTGCACGTCCGCGTACTTCTCGTCACGGGGCGGGCTGGTCCTCCGCTCGCACTGGAAGATGTGCTGCTGCGCTCGGTTGCCGAACAGCATGCGGCAGTGTGGGCAGCGGTGGAGGCCCTCCTCCGCTATCATGGCCTGCAGCCCCGGAGCCATCGCCATGCCATGAGCCGGCCCGTTCAGGTGTTGCGCCAGCGCCTTACGCCACATATAGTCTGTCTGCCGCTCGGGCGTGATCATCTCGTCGCAGGCAGGGCACTTCCTCGGCGAGACTTGTGGTGCGCCCCTCGCCGCGACGCCGGCCGTCGGAGGGGCCAACTTGCTCCGCGGCGCCTTGCGTTTGGGCGCTGCGGGCAGCGGCGACTCTGCCCGCGTCGGCCGGGGCGCCAACTCCTGTAACCTCGGCGATGTGCGTCGTACCACTCCCCGTCCCGGCTCGGGGGCTCCGCCCCCCCCGCCAGGCGGCGATGGCGGTAGCGATAGCGACGGTGGGTCCGGCGCACCCGAGGTGTGGTGATGCCATCGTCGCTTTAGCGCTATGGCGGCTGCGGCTATCGCCACCACCGCCCCGGCCGCAGCCCAAGTCCAGGCGCGGTGGGCGTGGCACGCACCAATGGCAGCGGCGAGGGCGGAGACCGCGAGGCAGGCGGCGACGAGTCCGGCGGCGGCGAACGCGCTTATGGCCTCTCCCCTCGCCGGGCTCGCGTTCGCAACGAGGGGGGTTCTCACGCCTGACTCCACGTCGCCGGTGTCTTCTCCGTGCGGGGCTGGCGGCGACGGCGGTGGCGGAGGCGGCGGCGGCGGCATGGACAACGCCCACCCTCGCTCGGGCATCTCCTGCCTGGGCGGCGGCGGCAGCGGCATCCACGTCCGCGGCGGCGGCGGTGGCTCCCACCCCGGGGGCGGCGAGAAGGCTGGCATCGGTGGCGGCAGTGGTCGGGGCGGCGGCGGCAGTTGCACCGACGGCTGCGCTGGGGGCGGCGGCGGCGGGAGCGCGTTTAGGAACGCGCCAGCAACGGCCGTGGTTGGCGGCGGCGGCGGTCGCGCCGTGGGCTGTGCCGGGGGTGGCGGTGGCGTGAGCGCGCTGAGGAACGCGCCGGCTTCCGCAGCGGCGGTGCGCTGCCTGCGCCGGGGTGCGTGCTGCACGCGCCCGCCGCCCTCGTCGTACATCACGTCGCAGTCGTCGCTGCTCTCGCCGGAGCTCAGGAACGCGTCGAAGGAGGCGAACGGCGTGGCGTCGTGCCGTCCTTCGGGCGGCTCAGAAGTTTTTTTCAACTTCTTTTCCAGCCTGACACTGTCCACTGTCCATGCTGAGCTCTCCCAACAAGCTTCTTTGCTTGCTGCTCAGCCTCCTCTGCTGCCCAGCCAGCGGCCTCCTCGTCGCCCCCGCTCGGCCCGGGCTGCGTGCGACGCGGTGCGGCGTGGCCAGGCTGCAGGGCGAGACGGATATCGCTAAGGATGACCGGGCGCGCTCTGCCTTCCCGAGCTCATAGCCGCCGCAGCCCGCCGCATCCTGGTCCGACCGAACCGGGCCTGCGCAGGTGCTGGTGACCATCGAGTCGCTCTCAAGCGACTATCGGCTGCAGATGGAGGCTGCGCTCGAGGAGCGCAACAAGGAGCGGATTCTGACCGGGCAGCCGCGGTATGAGGATATCGAGGATATGGTGACCAAGTACCAGGAGTTCGAGGGCGAGAAGCTGGGCATGTCGCGCGCCGAGGCGGAGGATGCGGTGCAGCGGCCCTACCTGGCCTCGGGGATATGGCCGGCGGCGGGATCGGGCGGCGCGCGAGCCTGCTTGCTTGGTCCGCAGGTGCTCAGCTACCTGCAGAAGAAGGCGCTCATGGATGAGGGCGCCTACAGCGGCGACCCGCAAGAGGCGCCCTCTGCCGGCAAGCGCAGAGCGGATTCCCTTCGTAACTGTCTGCCGCCTCGGCCGCAGGTGATCACTTTCGTGCTGCTTGGTGCGCTGGTCGTCGGCGTCGGCTATAACCTCATAGTGAACGGCATACCGCAGTGAAGTAGTTGGTGGCGTGCGATTAAAGGTAAAGCGAGACTCGGCTCCTGGCCGCCCTCATCAGCAGAGCCGCGCCTGCAGTTAAATGTGAATGTCCTACTGGACCAGTTGAGGCTACAGTACGAGAGTTGAGAGAGGCTGTCAATTGTCGCATGTGCGCATGTGTGTGCGCCGCGCGCGGGACCGTACATGTTGCGTATACTGTAGAGCCGTATTCGGGCGATGTAAATAAATAAATAAAACGGTCAAACTCTGGTTCCTCTTGTCCCGCCCGGCCACGCACGCAAGAGAAGAGAACGCACGCCAGTCGCCACACGCCCGCGCGCTCTGGCCCCCCTCTCGGCAGAGAGAAGCGCACGCGATCGCGAAGGGCGTAGTGTAGAACGTGAACGCGGATCGGCGCGTCATTTTCAAGACCCTCTTCATGCTTGCAAGCCGCGAGGTGCAGCTTCGGAATCGCGTACCGGAGCGCGGAGGCAGGGAGTGCACCGGGGAAGACAGGTTATTGGCCTTGCGCTGAGACTGAACGTGTCGTTCCAAGAGTACTGAACGTGTCGTTCCAAGAGTCTACGGCTCTGTTACTTTGCGCCACTATTTATTTTTTTCCTAATTCAGCTTCCTTCGCATCGAGATTTTGCCGTCATGAAGCTCGCCCTCACCGCTGCCCTTCTCTCAGTTGCGGAGGCTCTGGTCTCCTCGCCCGCGCTGCGCCCGGCGCAGAGCAAGCTCGCTGCCTCCAAGCTCGCGCCGACCATGTCTATGGAGACGACCGCGCTCGCCTCCATCTCTGAGTCGCTCGCCGGCGTCGTTGCGGTCGACGGCGGCACCATTGGCCTGGACGTGTCGTTCGGCGCCTTCCTGGCGACCATCCTGGGCCTCTTCATCCCGGTGGTCTTCCTCGTCACCCTGTACATCCAGTCCGAGGCGCAGGGCACCGCGACCACTTTCCGCGACCCCGACTCGCGCGGCGGCAAGCGCTTTGATGCTTGAGTGTCACGGGCGCGGGGTAGGAGGTGTTGCGTGGCGCGCCGGCGGCGGGGGGCGTGGGGGGGGGGCGACCGGAAAGCACAGTTCCGGCGCCCCGCCCCCTGAGAGCGGCGAACTGCAGGCGCAGCAGGGCACCGGCGCGGGCGGGCGCGCGCGGGGCGTGCACGTGCACTGCTGTTGAGGGCTAGAGCGGGCGTTCGCCTGGCCTTCCTCAGCAGTGCCACCACGACCCGCGTTCGTCTGCGGCTTCTACGCTTGTGGTGGGTGGGTTGGGAGGGGTCTCTTTCGCGCCGCGCGCCGGCGCGTGGAGAAGCCCCCCCCAGGCGCCTGCGTCATGCTGTCGAATTCTGCCCTGCTGCGCGGTCTGTCTCTCGGCGTTCTTGATATGTGATTTTGACCAGAACAAACACGGGGCCGGCCCCAGCAGCAGCGCTGCCCGGCGGGCAGCAGTGCGGGCTGCGCACTGCGCACAGGCACACGGCACAGGTCGCAGCGCGGGTGCAGGAGACGGCCACGCGACGTTTTCCACGGGCCACACGGCCCGGGGCGCCTGGGTGGGCCTGGCCGGGCCGACGTGCGACGTGGCACAACCGGGCTTTCCGGGGTCGCGGGGCGGGGGGATGGATAATGCTAATGGCGCACGCTCTCTCTCGTGGACGACTCACCGGACGGAAACGCGAACCACAACCGCCAGGGTGCAGGGAGAACACGAGAACACCTGGGGCTCAGCTGCACGCAGCCGCTCTACACACAGCCCACACGCCACTGCGCGAGAGCAGCCTCAGCTAGCTGCCGAGTTGTCTCCGTAAGCAAGCTCGAGCTGAGCCCCTCTGAGCATCTCGGCCGCATCACGGACCAGAGGCGCCGCCTCGCCGTGCACCGCCTGCCGGGCAAGGAGGGGGAAAGGGGCGGGGGGCTCTGTGTCGCTGTGCGGAGCTGCGGCGGGGCAGAAGCTGGGCGCACGCCTGCAGCACCTCGGTGGCGCGGCGCAAGTACCCGACGCTCTCTCTCAGCGAGCCGCAGTGTGCGTGCAGCTTGCCTACTCGGGCAGGCGGGGAGGCGGGTGAGGGAGCGAGCTGGCCGTCCGACAGCCGCGCCGCCGGAGGCTGCCCGCGCGCAGCAGCTGCAGCCCGAGGGCCGGGGCGCCGGGCGGGAGGAGCGACGCTGCGATCTCTGCGGCGCGGGTCGAGCGGCGCAGCGCGGCTTCCCAGTCGGCGGCGTCGATTGCGGCGAGCTCTGCCCGCTGCTCCTCACGCAAGGAGGCCGCCGCCTCGCAGCGTGCCGCCTCTCGCTTGCGAGCGGCGGGGGTCGGGGCGAGGGCCTCTTCGCAGGCGCGGCACTCGCAGGTGAAGAGGTAGGAGCTGCGCAGCGCTTGCCGCCTACCAGACCGAGAGACCCGCGCTGGAGGGCGGCGGCTGGAGGGAGGGCGGCGGCTGGAGGGAGGGCGGCGGCTGGAGGGAGGGCGGCGGTGTTGGGAGGGCGGGGTGCGGCGGCGAGCGGCGCTGGGAGAGGGGGCAGCTGTCAGTCTCGCACCGCTCGGATGCGGCCGCCGCTAGGTCGACGTACCCGATCGTGACCGCCTCGCCGGCCGCGAGAGGGCGGAGGGCGCGCAGTGTCAGCTTGCCCGCCGCACCAAAGGACTGGGCTGCCGTCGGGTCGCAGTCGTGGTTTGCGAGGGCTGCGAGCGGGTAGAGGCCGATGCCGATCTCCTGCGCGCCGGGGGGGAGGGGGTGGCGTGGCGCGGGAAAGGGCCGGTGCGCCTCTCTGCAGGTGGACCCTCTGCAGGTGGACCCTCTGCAGGTGGACCCTCTGCAGGTGGACCCTCTGCAGGTGGACCCTCTGCAGGTGGACCCTCTGCAGGTGGACCCTCTGCAGGTGGACCCTCTGCAGGTGGACCCTCTGCAGGTGGACCCTCTGCAGGTGGACCCTCTGCAGGTGGACCCTCTCGCCTGCAGCTCCGCGTCGCAGATGGCGTGCGCGTTGAGCGAGAGGAGCGAGAGGAGGGAGGCGACCTGCTCCTGGGGAGGGCAGGAACTGCTCCCCGCCCAGCCGCCGCCGCTCCGCGCAGCCTCCTGGATCAGCGAGCAGACCATCCCCGCCTGCTCCCCGAACTCGGCACACCTCTCCGCCGGCTGGCCACCGAGCTGGTGCGAGAGCGACAGGATCGCCGCGGCGCTCCTCGCCCATTCGCCCGCGTCCTCGGGCGGAGGCGCGCCGGCGGAGCGGCGGAGCAGCGCGAGCAGACGCGCCAGCAGCCGCACCGTCTGGCCCGGCACCCGCGGGCGAGTCTGCGCGAGCAGCGCGCACTCGTCGCGGTGGCCCGCCCACGCGGCTCGCTGGTGGTCGGCGGAGCAGTAGCGAGCGCAGCCGCAGCGCGAGCAAACCAGCAGGCGACCACCGGTGGCGTGGGAGTGGTGACAGCGCGAACTCAGGTGACGACCACTCACGACTGCTACTGCCGGTGTCACGCGCATGAGCACCTCTCCGCGCTTGAAGGAGCGCGTTGTGACCAAGCCACGCCCACCGCCGCCCACTGCGCCGGCCGCAGCGAGCGTGAGGCCCCACGGCGCAAGCGCCTCGTGCCACCGCGCCGTGCCCGTTGAGTCGGGCTTACGCTCGCCGCCGCCGCCATCGACAGGGCGGGAGGCGACGAGCTCGGCCCAGTGTGCTGCGTCGCCCGGCGGCGTCACCTCCAGCACGCGGCGAGACTCGCCTTCGGCCACCCGTTCGTCGACCCAGGCCTCCTCCGCCGCCGCGCGTGCGGCCTCGCGCTGCTCGTCCGCGCGCATTGTGCGCTCGGCCACAGCTAGCCGCTCGAAGGTGAACTCCGACATCGCTTCGACTCGCGAGGGCACGAGCGCCGCACACGAGCGCGGCGGAACAGTTTTCTCTTTGGCCGCCAGTTGCCCCTTCCCCGAGCCCGACTGCCCCGTCGGCTATTTCCCAGGGGCAGGGCGGCACTACAACTCAGGTGTCAGGAGTGTCCTGATTCGCCAACAACATACGGAAGAGGTGTCAGGAGGGAACACTATCCCCTAAGCTACGATCCGGCGAGGTAGGAGCTCCCGAACCCTGATCTCGAGGTTCTCGAGGTGGATATCCTTTGGCCGCGTTGGGTAGCGAGGATTGGTGTGACGCGAACCCTGATAAAAAGAAAAGACAAAACGCCACTACTGGTCAAACAAAACAAAAGGAATCTCTGTCACTGTCTCTCTCTCTCTCTCTCTTCATGCATTCGATCTCACATGTCATGGATGCTTTGTCCTTTGAAATCCTGTTGTGGCGGCATGAGTTCTCGTTTCTCTCCGCGCCCCCACACCTCCTTTAGTCTTTTTTCCGTGTGTGGGTTGCGTCTTTTACTCTTTCTATTTCGTTGCACCGACGGTCGGTCCTCGAGAAAGAATACCCTTTTCCTTGCACTGGGGGAGAGCGAGAGCAAGCCCTGTGTGACAGCATCGGCCAGGCGGCTCGATCCGGAAATAAATGCGCGGGAGCCGGGACGCGGGAGCGGTAGGAGAGCGGAACGAGTAAGCGAGCTGAGCGAGGAGAGTTGTGTTGTGTGTAAGGCGAGACCTCGGGGCGCCCCATTTGCAGAGCCCCGAGCACAGCATCTCGAGGTAGCCAGGAGGCCGTGCAGTGCACTGGGACGCCGGATAGCGGGGATGTTCGGCGACGGGCCCGCCCTGCGGAGACGCGTGTGCGGCGCTGCCAGGGCGGGCCACCTGCGCGGGGTCTACGCCGTGGACTTGTGGCCGAACGGATTCCAGCTCGAGTCGGGCAGTTCTTGCTTCTTGGCCTCGCGCTCCATGAACTTGACACGCGACACGCGGACGCGAGTTTGCTGCTTGTGGTCCGCCAAGTTGCTCAGGCGGTGCGCGAGGTCGGCCTGCTTGCGCTTGTGGATGCGCGCCATGGAGCTCTTCTGGTCCTTGAGCTGCAACATGCAATCGCCGCGGGGCTCAGGGCGAAAAGCGCCGGGTAATGCGCCGGCGGCGGTGGGGGCGTGGTGGGGAGGGCGCCTGCTGCTCGATGGCGAGTATCCGCTCAAGCTGCCCGGCAGCGAGCACGTCGTCGACTGCGTTGTTGGCGAAGACGCACTCGCAGAGAATCCCGACCGCCTCATGCAGGGCCGCCTCCCGTGCCTCCGACGGGATCGTGTCCGGAAGTGCCGTTTCCCTGATTAGCTGCTTGACGACGAGCTCCTTGACGGCGTCCAGGTCTGCCGCGTCGGCTCCGATGAGCTGGTGCACAAGGTCGATCGGAAGCAAGCGTTCGAACTGTGGCACAACCGCCTTGAGGCTCGCCAGCAGGAGGTCGCGCGAGGCCGCCTCGTCCAGCGGCGCCCCCGGCTCAATCGAGGCAGCGACGCAAAACTCGCGGATCGCACGCTCGAACCGCGGGGCGAGGAGCTGGATCGCAGCAGAGGTGATCGTAATATCCTCAACTTCCCGCGCCGTCACCTGCGCCGGCAGCACAGGGCGCTTGTATCGAATGTGTGAGAGGAGTTGGGCGTGGCAGAAGCAACAGGCTGGGCGCCTGGAGCAGCATCAGGTGAGGTTCGCTGAGCACCAAGTTCATCACCGTGGTAGTGACGTTGAACTTGGCCTCACGGCTCAGGAGAGGGAAGTTCAGCATTTGGAAAACCTGCTGAGTGAGGCGGCTGTTCAGCGCGGACGAGACGGCTCCACTCTTGAGGGACTCCCTCGTCTCGACGTCAAGCTCGCTGAGCACTATTGCCGCAGCCGCGACGATTTGCTCGATGAGCGCGTCTTTTATTGCAGTTGGCATTGCCGCAACAACAACGGTCTCGCCTATCTCCTCGGCAATCTCCTCCTGCTGCTCCGGCGTGAAGAGCACCTTGGGACCCTCGAAAAAAGTTCGGGACCGCTTCAGGTGCGCGGGCTCACACACAGTAGGGGCAGAAGTGAGAGCAGCCGCAGCAGTCGGCGCGACAACTGCCAGCACCAGCCGCCTACGCCCGCCGGCAACGACGGCCTGCCGAGCAAAACCGGCGATGCGGCTAAACATCGAGCTGCTGGAGCGGTCGCAACGAGAGCGATGCGGCTGCGACGCCTCGGAGTCGGGCGCGAGCTGCGTTTTACGTCTTTCGGCGGGATGAAGTTGGATGAGGATAGAGACCGCATGGAGTAAAGTAACCGCGCGCTGCTAAGCTAGACGACACCGCGTGCCGTCGCCAGGCTGGCCGAGTTGTGTGGTCCCGTGTAGGCCGGGAGAGAGAATTTGGTCATGAAAGTGTTACCCTCACACACATGCGGGTGCACATGCACCCGCATGTCCGACTCCAAAGAAAGTGAGTGAGGCGAGATTCATCATACAGTGTGATCGTCCCTCTCTGTTGGTTTTGGTTGCCAGTCACGCCCCTCGAACTCGGAATCTCTTATAATCGCGCCAAATCCCCCCCTCGCAATATATGAACGCAGAAAGAGGGATTTTAGCCGCCCTGTCCTCCCCCCGAGGACGCCCGTTTTTCGGGCGGTCCCCGCAGCCGGTCGCGATGGGCGAGCTCAAGGACTGGATGCCGCTGGTGATTTTTGATTTGGCCTGCGTCTTCCTCTACTCGGGGATCATCTTTGGATGGGCGCCGCTCCACCAGATGCTCGTCAAGGAGGGCTTTTACGCTGAGTTCTGCGAAGGCGAGGAAGTCCCATGCGCCGCCATGGAGAACAAGCTGAATTCAGCCTTCACGCTCGCCTCGAGTGCGGTGTCGGTGATCGCGCTGCCTGCGGGCTGGTTTGTCGACACCTTCGGCCCGATGGCGGGAATCATGATCGCGGGCGTCCTGCAAGTGATTTCGCTCACCGGCATTGGGCTCGTCCAGCAGCTCGGGGATGTCGCCGGGTTTGACCTGTTCGCAGCGTCGCTCGTGAGCATGTCGATGGCCGGCGCGATCACCATGTTCTGTGGCTACACCGTCCCCTTCCTCTTCCCCAAGCAGGCCACGCTGCTCATCGCCGCCACCTCGTGCCTCTTTGACGGCTCGTGCGTCATCTTCGCCTTTTGGAAGCCCGTGTGGGGCACGGGCATCGCCTTCTCAACCATGTGGTTCGGATACGCGGTGCTTGCCATTTTCCTCTACAGCGGCCTGGCCTATTTCTGGTACCAAGCAAGGGGCCTCTACGCGGAGTCGAAGGAGGGTGGCGGTGGCGATGACGACAACCAAGTCATTTCCCCCCTCGCGGCTCTGCCGCTCAACAAGCAGATCTGCACCGGCGCATTCCTGGCGGTGATGCTCTACGCAGCCATACAGGTCTCGCGCTCAAATCTCTACCTCGGCACGGTTGAGCTCGTCGTCCACGCCGCAGCGACCTCCGGCAGCGCGCCGGCGTCCAAGGAGGCCTTTGTAACGATGATGGTCGGGTGAGCGACCCCCTCATCTCAAACCCGAGCCGCTGCCCATGTACCGTTCGCCACGCTGGTTGGTGCGCACGACACTCCGTACTCTATCGTCGCGCTCTTGATGACCTCGGACGGGCTTGAGGCGTGTCATCTCAGTCAACCTTGACGTCCCTGCCCTTGCCTCAGATACATCATCCCGCTCGGCTTCCTCGTCGTGCCATTGTTCGAGATGTCGGTGCAGAAGCTGGGACTCATCGGCACCTTCCACGTCACGTCCGCCATCGGCATTCTCTATAACGCGCTGCAGCTCTCAGGCAATAGCTCGCGGCTCCATACTAGAAGCCACACGCGTCGCCCTCAGCCGTGTGGTCCAGCGAGATAGGCCTCCTCGAGGTGCACCTCGCAGCCTCGTGCGTCTTTGCGGTCTTTCGCGCCTTCCTGTTCTCCATATTCTCGGCGTACGTCATGGCCACGTTTGGCCCTGTCACCATGGGGCGAATCATGGGCTGCTCGTTCATCGCCGCAGCTGTGGTCAACCTCGTCCAAGCGCCGCTCGTCACGTGGACCAACGACGACCTCGGTGGTGACTTCACGCCAATGCTGCTAATCTCGCTGGGCGCGGCCGCGCTGATGCCCTTGATCTGGGTCGCTATGCCGTCGGCAACGCCGCCCACAAAGAGCTCGCGGGACGATTCCTTGATGCCCTCTGTCGCGAAGGCTTCTCCACGAAGCAGCATGAACAGCATGGGGTCGAAACGGCTGTCAAAGAAGGCCGCCTCCTACCTTTGAGCTACCCAGCGGATTGGTTCCAATCCATCGTCAGCCCGTGGTGCTCATGTCTGTCTCGACTGGGCGTCTGATGACTCTGCACGTCTGTGCTTCGGCTCCAAAAGAGCGCCACCGTCATGTCGGACTGAAGTTCCTGCCGGCAGCGGCATCGTATTTGCAAAGAGTGGCGAGTTGTGAGAGCGAGAGCGTTGTTGCGTAAAAAGGGAAGTAGATATCTAAAAAATCCAAGAGAGTAGTAGGAAGGCGGGAGAATCCAAAAAAGCCGTCCAAAAAATCGTCTTCACCCCCCCCCCCCCCCTCCCCTGACTACCCGTCCCCCGACGACTTCGCCGCGAAACGACTTTTGCATAACGAGCGCGCATTCATGGTGACACGGCCAAGCACAAGTGGGAGCGCCAGCCGCAGTGCGTCGTCCCTGCCTTCTCGGCCTTCGAGCAGCGCGACACGGAGCATGATGGGCGAGCAGCCCCTCTCAATGAGGCGCACTGCCCCCTCCTTCTCCTTTGGAAGCAGCACCAGATCGCAGATGTCGAAAGCGTTCATTTCGCGCGAGCATGCTAAGGTGACGGGGAATCCGACGACGCCAGGGCCAGTGTACAGCGTGCAGTCTTCAGTCGGCACGCAGCCCGAGGCTCGCTCTCGCACCGCACCGGCGACGCAGTTTGGAACGTCCAAACGCTTCCCTTCCGCCAAGAGGTGCTCGACGCCAGGGCCGGGCACGTATCCTGCACACGCCACGTTTGGGCGGCAGTCAGTCTCTTCCTGGCAGTCGCCAGCAACGTACGGTTTTGGCAGCATGCCGCGCGAGGATGGGGAGAAGGTGTACGTCTCGGAGGAGATGGCACGGATGAAGGCTGGCGCAGAGTCGCCGCCTGCCAAGTACAGCCTCCCCGGCTCGTTCGGGTCGCAGCAGCACTCTCGTAAGTGCTCCGCTCCGGGGTACCGCCTTGGAACGTCGCAGCGCTTCCCGCCTGCCCGACAGCACAGCGCGCCAGGCCCAATCTACAAGCCAGTCGTGTGCGCCGTCGGACGCCAGTTTCTCTCGCCGCACTCCTCTCCGCCGGCCTTCGGCTTCGGCACATCGAGCCGCGAGAACCAGCAGCGGCGGTATCTCTCGCGCGAACACGCCCTGGCGGCGAGTAGGGGTCGCGATTCGCCTGCTCCAGCGAGCTACAAGCTCCAGGACGGCGTGGGCAAGCAGGTCCTGTCTCGCAACGCCTCGGGCGCGTCGTTCTCCTTCTCATCGAGCAGTGGCCGGTGGACGCCCGCGACCAAGGCGGCCGCTGACGTACCCGGGCCGGGCGCGTACCTTGTGTGATGCCAGGAGAGGGTTGCGGGGCGGGTGGGGGGGGGGGGGGAGGGGGGGCATGAGGTACACGGCATGTTGCTTATTGTAGTGGACAGTTGGTTGCAAGTGTGTGATGTGCGTTCGCGCCGTGCGCGTGTGTCGTGTGTGTCTGATGAGTCTGGCTCTCCCGATCGAGACGCGTTCTGTAGTTTCTGGTGCGCAAGCTCTCACGGCCGGACGGGTGCGCGCGAGCGGGGCTCCGTATAACGCGCGCGCGAGAGAGGTCAGACTCAGAGGAGCACAGGGGAGGCTTTGACTCTGGCTGAGCCCTCTAGACTACGCTACAAGTCGGTAGGAAATGCTGCAGAATCGCCGAAACATGACATGGCATGTTAGTATTGAACTACAACGCGGCACGCACACATCGCCTCCCTAGTCGCCTCCCTATACGTGTATAAGAGCCCAACCCTCCGCCTCCCAACACGACACTCCCTCACGCCTGGCCGAGCATGGACTTGGCCGCCTTCTGCGCCTTGTCGGCCCACGACTCCTGCTGCATCAGCTCCTTGGTCACCATCTGCACCTTTTGCTCTGGCAGCTCGCCCTTTGCCACCGCAGTGCTCACGCCGGTCGCGACTATCTTGTAGCCCCACTCGAGGCTGGGCAGCTTCTTGATTGCGGGATACTGTTGCCGCGCCATGTCGGTCAGCCGCCGCTCGCTCTCAAAGATGGAGCGCGCCACACCCTCGTCGAGGCGCTCCTTGAAGACGCCTTTGGCCAGCGGCGACCCGAGCCAAGCTCCCACGAGGCCCTTCGACTGGCCGTCGCCGCGGAGCACCGAGACGGGATACCACATCACGCGCGTCTTTGGGTTGCGCGCGTAGAGGTAGAAGAGCGGCGTGCCGTCCGGCGGCGCGTCCGGCTCGCGGAACTCCTGCTGAGGCATCGCGCCCACGGCGCCGCCGCCCGGGCCGCCGGGCGCGCGCGGCCGACCCTTGCGGCCCATCACCACGGCCGCGGCGCGGCGCGGAGCGCACGACGCATGCAGCGACGCGCCAGGGGGCGTCGCCAGGAGGCCGGCGGCGAATGCTCCCGCGAGCAGAAGCGACAGCGCCAACATCGATCTCGAACCCGTGCGAAAAGATGGAACCATGGCCTTGGCACTCGGGGTTTCTGGGACTCTTAAGGTGTGCTAGTCGCTGTTCTACAGTTCCGAGCCGGTGCTTTTTCTCTTTTCGGTTCCTGGCAACCTCCACACGAGGGCAGGCGGCTGGAGAAGGCCCAGGGCGTCGTGGGCTTTTGGAAGAGCGGGTTGGGACGGGAATGCCGTCGCTCGTGCTCGCCACCCTCTGCGCGCTCGGGCACAGCCTGCCGCCGCCACTTTCGCTCCGGGCGCCGCCACTGGCCAGCATAGCGGGGCGGCGCTCTCTGGCCAGCATAGCGGGCGGCCGTGGCTCGCTCGTCCGTGCGTGTGCCGCTGTAGAGACCGCGACCGGCACCGGCGGCAGGATGGCCACCGCCGTCAGCGCCGACGGGAGCATATCGGCAAAGGCCGTGGTGACCACGCCGCTCGTAGCGGAGGCCACCCGGCTGCAGGGCCTCGGCATGCTCGCCGCTGCCGCGCTCGGCCGCGCGCTCACCTGCACGCTCCTCGTCGCGGACGGGCTCAAGGACGAGGAGACCTTCCAGGTCACGTTCAACGGTGATGGACCGCTGAGAGGCGTCATGGCGACCGCCAACGGCAAGCTCGAGTCGCGCGGCTACGTCGGCAACCCCGCCGTCACGCTGCCGCCCACCGGCGCGGGCAAGCTCGACGTGGGAGGCGGCGTGGGCAAGGGGTCGCTGCAGGTGGTGCGCCAGAAGCATCTTCCCGGCGCCGACCTGCCTTCGCAGTACTCGTCCATCACCGAGATCCGGACCGGCGAGATCCCGGAAGACATCAACTACTTTCTGCTCGAGTCGGAGCAGCGGCAGGGAGCCCTCGCCGCCGGCGTATTCGTGTCGCCGGTCGCCGCCGGCGGCGCGGCGGAGGGCAGGGAGGAGAGCGGGGAGCTGCAGCCGCCCGCCGCCGACGCGCCGCCGAGTGCGGGCGTGCGGGTGGACGCTGGCGGGGGCTGGTACGTGCAGCTGCTGCCGTTTGCGGCGGAGGAGTCGATTGTGCGGCTCGAGGAGAACATCGCCAAGCTGGCGAGCCGCTCGCCGACCAGCCTGGTGCGGGAGGGGCTGGGGCCGCGCGAGATCGTCGACCTGCTGCTCGACGGACTCGAGCCGGTCTTCGCCGACGACAAGCCGGTCGCCGGCTTGGCGGAGTCGTGCCCCTGCTCTGAGGCGCGGGCTGCGGACGACGGCACCCCTCGGGGAGCCTTGTCAGAGCCGTCTCCGCCCCTTCTAGGCGCGCGTGCTGCGGACGATGGCGCTCATCCCGCGAGAGGAGCTCGAGGAGATGCTCACCTCGAACGAGGTCATCGAGGCCAGATGCGAGTTTTGCGGCACCCTCTACCGATCGACGCCCGAGGAGCTGCGCGAGAAGCTCGAGGCGCGCGAGTGAGGCGAGTTGGAGCGGAGGCGGAGGGAGGAGAACGACGCGGGCGGAGTAGCCGCGCCGTCCGTCGACCCGGAGCGTCGCCGGCGGCGGCGCACCAGCCAACGCGGCTCCGCACGGCTCCGGCACCGGCGGCGACGGGCCGTCGCCACGCCCGGACTCTCAGCGTGCGCGATCCTGGAATGTCGACGCGGTTAGAGAGACTGAGGTGCCAGGGGCGTCTCCTCGGCGGACGGCCTAGCCGTCCGCCACGTATTTTTTTTCCCGCGTGTGGATGATCGCATGGCGGTCGTGTGGTCCTCGACGGGCGGTGGGGGCGCTGTGCACAGGCGGTGTGTACGTTCGTTGGCTGTGCGCCCCGGCGTAGACCACAGCAGGACCACAGGCGCGGCGGTGGGACCAGCTCTAATTCTCTCCCATATGCTCTATCGTAAAAGACGGGCCCCTCACCGGCCTCAGCTCCAGGCTCAGCCCTCGAGCGCGTCGCGCAGCCGCTCGAGCCGCCGCTTCTCGTTCCTCCAGTTGAGCCTCAGCGTGCGCACGTCGCCCGACAGCTGCACCAGCCCCGGCTTGGCGCCGGCCGGCTTGCTCACCTGCCTCGCGCGGCACAGGTTCACGCCGACCGAGCCGGAGCGCGCCGCCTTTGAGTAGTTCGCCGCGAGGACGGCCGCGTCGAGCTCCACCTGCCGCGGAGCAGCGAGCTCATGCCCCCCTCCCCTCATCCTAACCCCTGGCCCCGCCCTTCCCGCTCGCCTCTCGCGGCAGCGTCGCCGCGTCGCCGACGCTCTCCGCGCGAATCACGACGTGCGAGCCTGCGGCAGCCGACGCTCGCTCACTCGATGTGCGCGAGGCGGGCCGGTCCCTGGCCAGCGCACCTGCGCAGCCCGCCGCATGCATCCACCAGTCGTCCGCGTCGCGGTGGAGGGGGTCGGTGCTGAGGGCGTCGTTGTCGGACGCCTGGCCGGGCAAGCGCCACACGCTCGCCCTCCCCGCTCGCGAGGCGCGGATCACGGCCACAACCTCTCGGCCACATCTCCGCTGCATCTCGCCTGCTTGCCGACCCGGATCTCGGCGCCGCCCTCGCTCCGGAAGACGCGGTAGGGAAGGCGCGGCTTTGCGCGCGGGCCTAGAGTAAGGTGTTACGGGTACGGGTTCGGGTTCGGGTTGGGTAGGGGAGGCGCGGGTTGGCGCGCGGGCCCTTTGGCTTCTTCGGTCTCGGCGGTGGCCGAGCCGGTGGCTGGTCGCTCACGCCTGCGGCCGAGGGCGAGCCGGCGTGTGGGGCGGCCGACCTCGCGATGGCGCCGGCCGCGGTGCCGCGCCGAGGTCGGCCGCGAGGCTTAGCAGCTGCGCGAGCGGAGTGGCGTCGGCGGCGTCGGCCGAAGCCGTGCAAGTCTTGAGGCCCTGGACCAGCGAGTCCAGCCGCTCCACCCTCTCCGCCTCGGCTGCCGCCGCGGCGCGCAGCTCGTCGCAGTTGGGAAGCGCCTCGAGCGCCTCGAGCGCCGCGTCCTCGTCGGAGAGCAGCTCCTCCATGCGCGCGTCGCAGAGCTCCGCGCGCTCCCGGGCCTTTGCCGCCTTTTTCTGCGCGCGGTAAAGCTTGCGCTGCGACTCCTTGCGCATTCCGTCGAGGTTGATCTCTGTGTCGAGGCCTTCTATCGCACTGCCGGCAGCCGCGTAGAGCCTGGCAGCGCGTGGCGGAGCGCGGGCGAGCACGGCTCGCAGCGGAGGCCGGTGTGCGACGCGCGAGGCGAGGATGACCGTGGCGAGGAGCTTGTGCATGGCAGCAGCAGCGGTCGAGGGGTGGCCACGAACTGCGAAAGCGCGACGCTGCGGGTTCGGGCTCCTCGGTGGAATAGGGTTTCAAGACGCTTTCTTTTTTCGTGCTGGCCCTAGAGGAATCCTCGGACGACCCCTGACGTTGCGAGCGGCACTGTGAGCACGCTGCATTCGACGCTGCATGGCTCGCACTCGGTCGATGGATGGACGATGGGAGGCGAGCTTGCGAGAGTCACACACGACACACACGACACGACAGGGACACAGACACAGACACAGACACAGACACAGACACACACACTGCGCTCCCCTCAGCGGGCAGGGAGACGCGAGCCCGACGGAGTCCGGTGGCGGGGGCCCACGCAGCAAGCCCCTGCACTGACATGGTTGGTGCTAAGCCGCCGCCGCCGCTCGCTCTCGAACTGCGTCGCGCTGCTGCCCGTTCCCGGAGCGCAGAGCGCGATTTTGGTGGCCAGGGCCTTGCCTGAAGGGGGGCGGGGCAGGGGGGGAGAAGATGAGGACGTCACCGAGCGGGTGGAGCTGCCGGGAAGGTGGTGGGCGGGGCATGTGGATGCACCTCAAATACGATCGAGGAGCGGGAAGACCGCCCGCTACTCCGGCGGGAGAGTGCTCCCCCGCCGCCCCCTGGGTCACCCCGAGTGACCTCGCAGCCCACGCCGTGGGGCGCTGCTGTCAGGGGAATGTTGGGGGCGTGCAAAGCCGCGATGCCTTCTCCATGTCGTGCTCCGCTGGTAGCACGGCTCGTGCTTTGATTCTCGCCGGCCGATGAAGCGAAGCAATGGCAACCACCAGGAAAGAGTGCGCCAATGCCCGCTGCGGCGCCTTGCCGGCGAAGCCCCAAAAATCGTCCGCCGGAGGTGCAATGACGGCTCAGTAAAAAGATTCTGCGTGATTCTGGCTGGGCTAGCCGTTTCAGACAGCCTCCGAGGTCTTGAAGCGACGCACAGCGTGTGGCTTGCGGCGTGGTACGCCATGGTCGACGCCGACACCACGCCGTATTCCATGCAGCTCGCCGCCTCCTCGCCGCCGAGCATGCGCCCGTCGCCGAGCGCCATGGCGCATGGGAGCCAAACGCCTGCGGCACAGTGTGAGCAATGCGATATGCGTGAGCCGGCGTGCCACGGCCGACGGGTAAGCGTCGCTGCGTGCGGTGCGCACGTCGCGGCGCGGCGTTGCGGTCGCGTGAGCGGCGGCGGCGGAGTGGCTGTGCGCGCCGGTCGGAGTATTCGCGCGCATTGGATCTGTGGAGAGCGCGAGCGTGCCGGCAAGGCGGCGAGCGGTGGTAGGGCCTGGCGCGATACCTGCGCGAAGTTGTTGTTGAGCTGGCCAAACGGGATGCCACCAGGTCTTGCTTGAGTAGCCTAGCCGCAATAGAGTAAGGGCGTGAGGCAGTGTTGTGTCCGCGATGGCGCTCGAATGAGGGCGTGGAAAGATGGGTGACCTGGGTACCGAATGCGCTCGTGGCTCGCCTCCGCGCCCGAGCGACAGGCGTGGGTCCTCAGACTGCACCCAGGGCCCGAGCCTCACGGCTGCAACCCTCGGACTCGGTCCGTCACGAGCTAGCCGGCCGCGGCACTTCGAATGGCCCCATGACGTGGGGGAGGGCTAAATCTTTTGTGGAACCAGTCTATGAGTCTGCACAGAGGGGTGGTTGACGGGTTGAGGGTTGAGGCCCCCCCTCAACCATCTGGTTGACGGTTGAGACCCCCCGTCAACCCTTTAGTTGGGGGTTGAGGGCTCCGGGGCCTATTCACAGGGCTCGCGCGTGATCACAAGATTGGAACAGCCCTGCCGCCAAAAAAATCGCTTCGCCTGCGGCGCGCTCTTGCGGTCCTCGTACCCATAAGTAGGAGACGCTCACTGTCGCCATTCAGGCGCCTGATCCTTCAGCAAAGCGATGGCCTACCAGGTACGAGTTCAGATGCGCGCCCGGCAGAAGACGCTTGTGATGCCGCATGCATGCAGTGGAATGCGCACAGAGAACGGACGGCAAGAGAAGGCAAGGGAAGGAAGAGAAACGGCTGGTGAAGCTCAGCTCACGGCGTAGTATTGCGGTCACTAACCATTCACGGCAAGAGTCACGGTGAATGCTGCCGCATAAAAGCAACAGAGTCGCGGTTGGCGCGATGGTCTTGTCGCGGTTCACGACTTGACGTTGCACACGGTCATAGACGCAGTATCTGTTTGGCGAGCCTCAAGCAGCGAAAGCAGGCGCGAGAAATTAATGATAATGTCAATCCTGAGATCTCAATTTTGGCGCTAGTTTCGTTTTCTGGTACATCATGACGACTTGGGTCTCATGTAGCTCTCGACGGCTCTTCGACGGCTCTTTCTGGTTGGATCAGACAGTGCTATCAGTCAACAACACAATGCCGAGAGCAGGGCGGCCTTCGAGCAGGGCGGCCTTCGAGGCAACTAAGTTCCTGCTGCATTTTTCATCGTACAACTTGATGGCGGGCGGACGTGTCGAGCATGGAAGGCGGCCATTGCTCAAACCTGTTCGAGTTGGCCTCCGGGAACAAGGGTGCGTGGCCGGCGCGGTCTGTTTCACGTGCAATAAGGGCAACGCCATCAAAATCGCGAACATGGGCCGACATGCCTCCGACATTTCTCAGGGCCCGGACGGAAGCTCTGCAGACAGCCAGACCGCTCTGCGCGGCCGGACCGACTTTTTCAGACTTTGCTATTCTGGATACTGAGGGTATGTGCTGCTAGATCTCACTGAGCTGAGCTCGTATCTGGCTTTGGTAAGCAGTTTTGAGTTCGGTAATGTCTCCGGAGACGGAGGGCCGCGTCCGCGGACGACCATGACGTCGGCCGGGATCCCCCCGTGCGGGGGCCTTCGACGCGCCGTTTTTACGATACTTGCTTCAGCTACGTGCGTGAATGGGAGGTGTGATGCAGCATCCAGGCGTTAAAGAAGACGACATGAATGGTTCACAGAGAATGTGTGTTCAGACCTTTGCGCGGGGGGTGTGAACAGCCATTCCGCGTGGTTGAGGGGTTGAAGGGGTCTGTCAACCACTTGGTTGAGGGTTGAGGCCTCTGTCAACCACGTGGTTGACAGTTGAGGCAATCGGCCTCAACCACCGCTCTGAGTAGATATGAGTTTGAAAGAATTTTTTCTTTTGGACTTTTTGGGTAAGGTAGGCACAACCCGCAGGCGCGCGCGCCGGCCGCGCGGAAACGGCGCACCGCACCGACATGTTGTTCAGCGCTCCTCTCGTCCGGCCGCTCCTGCTCGCCTTCAACCGAGCGAGCGTCTCTCCCGCCGTCGCGGCCCTCGATCGGAACGAGCACCTCATCTGGCAGCCCGGCTTCGGCCCGCGCTTTCTCCTCTCGCTCGTGGCATGCGCGGCGGTCTCGACGCTCGCTCCGCCCAGCGGGACGCAGGCGCTGCGGCTCGCGCTGCGGCGCGCAGCCGGCCGATTCGAGTGGTGGTTTCTGGTCGGCCTCGCCTCCTCCTCGTGCTGCGCCCTGCAGCTCCTCCTCAACGCCACCCTCGCCATTGGCTGCGCGGGCTTCAACACCGTGCTCGGCCCTCCGCGGCCAGCCTTCCTCGCGCTCGCCGTCGTGCTCCAGTGCCACCTGTGGCGCGCGGCCCTCGCCGCGACCCCTCCGCGCCTCGTCCAGGCGGCGGCCGCCACCGCGCTCTGCACCGCCCTGTCGCTCCTGCCCGAGGCGCTCCACTGGTGGGTGCACCGGCGCGACGGCTGGCGCACCGGCGGCGGGGAGGCGGTGTCGCTGCAGGTCGGCGGGATGGGGTGCACGGCGTGCACCCAGAAGGTCCTCTCCGCGCTCGAGGCGGTCGACGGCGTCGACAACTGCGAGGTGGACCTGCCGGCCGGCGTGGCGTGGCTGCGGCTCGGGCCGCGCGCCGACGCGGCGACGCTCGGAAGGGCGGCGCGAGCCGTGCGCGACGTCGGGTTCACGTGTGACGCCTGAGAAAAGTCGTCCGAGCCGGAGGCTGTTTTGTGGTCGCGCGGGTACGCGGTGTGGGCGGCGCGTTCTCTCTCCGACGTTATATTGGGGTGTGTCCGAGTGGGATCGCTGGGATCATGCGTGGGTGCCGTCGCGCAGCCCACAACGTGAGAGGGGCGGCGCTGGGCGGGATACGTCACAGTGCGGCGGTCTTTTTTTGTGCGAACTTGGAGCACTCTTTGGAGGAGTGCCGGCTACAGGGCGAAGGCCGGCGAACGCGTCCGCACTCGTTCGTTGTAAGAGTTTAAACGCGAGAGATGCCTACCACGTCATCCCTCGCCGCTCCCCGCCCGCCTCAGGCGCGTAGCCGGCGTCCGCGGCAGCGATTGCGGCGACGTCGTTCCCCAGGAGCGGCGGCTCGTCACGGGGCGCCGCCGGGTCCGCGCGCTTGCGGAAGACGGAGATGTACATGTTGCCGTTGTTGCGCTGCACCTTTTGGCCCTCGTCCGTGTGTATAAGCAGCGGCACGCACGGGTCGGCGCGCAGCTCGTCGCGCGAGAGGCGCTCGAAGAGAGGCGAGGCGGTGAGGTGGCCCACCATCCACTCCATCAGCTCTGCCACGTCGGTGATGGCGTACAGGTGGCCGCCGGCCGAGAGCGTGTACCCAAACTCGGCGAGCAGCGGCTGCGAGATGATCCGCTTCCGGTGGTTCTTCCGCTTGAAGTGGGGGTCGGGGAAGCAGATGAAGATCTTGCTCAGCTGGCCCTTCTCGAAGAAGTTTGGCATGAACCGCATTGCATTGTTGTGCAGCGCCCACACGTTCTCGTACGTGGCGGCGTCGGCGGCGTCAGCAGCCGTCGCCTGCGCAGCCTCGTGTCGGAGGGCGAGGGCCCGCTTCTGCACGTACTCGACGAGCTTCGGTCGGATCTCGATGCCGAGGACCAGCTGGGACGGGAAGGTCTTTGCCTGTGCCGCAAGCGGAGCGGCAGGGCGTCAGGCGGCCGAGGACGGGTGGCGCGGCGGCCGAGCGGCGCGCGCCAGCGAGAGGCAGAGTGAGCCAAAGCCGCATCCCACATCCACGAAGGTCACCCGCTCGCCGCTGGCACGCTGCGGAAAGTACTCGCCCCAGGGCACGTCCTGCGGACGAGCTGGGAACCAAAAGTCGTTGGCGTTGAGCACGTTGGAGTGTGCGCGTGAGCGAAAGTGCTTCTTCTGCGGCATTTGCGGCCCACTCTCATCCTCGCCCTCGCGCGAACGCGCTCCCGTCATCGCACGGCAGGACGGCTAATCCAAGAAGGCAGGTGCTTCCTCGCGACGAGGAGAGCGTCCTGAGAAAACCCAGACCCACGGCCCTGGATGTGAGGTTACCGACTAGAGAGAGAGAGAGAGAGAGAGAGAGAGAGAGAGAGAGGACGCGAGAATAGCTCCGCCGTTCATGGAGGCAACCGATGCGAGTCGACTGGTGTGTGTCGTCGTGGTTTCGTATCAAGAATTCTCTCTCTCTCTCGTTACCGACTGCACTCCAAGTGCTCCAAGTGCTCCACGTCTCGGCAAACGTTGCTCCGTCCCCTCAAGTGCCGGCGTGCACTCATCCTGCAACTCTGCCGCCGCGTCGAAGGCCGTGCCGTCGGCCGGAGCGGTGCCGCCCTCGGCCGGAGAGTGCGCAGCCGCGAGGGGGGCTCGCGGTCGTGGCGGCGGGGGTGGCCCCGGCCATCTCGGGCAAGTGGCGACGCGTGACTCGCACGTTGGGCTCGGAAACGTGGCGGCGGGGTACGGATATCGGCGCGCACAGGGTATCCGGTCAGTCGCGCGATGGCCGATGGGCACATGGTATCAGGGTATCCGCTGGGAGGCTGAACTCTATACCCGTGCGCCGTGGGTGGGAGGGAGGGATGAACTCATATGGATGAACTCTATACCCGTGGGCGATATAGAATCCTGCGCTGCGCGCGCGAGGGCCGCCAGACCAAAAGAACTCTACAAATTTCCTTCCGTCGCGGATCTTATTTCTTTTTGCGGCTCTTTTAACCCCGAGTTTGCGGCGGGCGCGCCCTGACGGTTACGCCCTTTCGCTAGGGCCTCTCTCTGCGGCGCAACAGGCTGCCCGGGCTTGAGGCATGGCCGACGAGCCATCGTCACGAGCTGCCTCAGCGCCGGCGCCGCACTACGCTCTCCCCAGCCTCTGCGCCGAGCTGCCCGAGTACACCAACGCCGAGGCCGACGCGATCGCCCAGGCGTTCCGATCCGGCAACTTTTGCTCCCTCAAGGTTCATCGCGGGGGTCGCTGCGCCTCCAGTCTCTCGCGCTCTCATTCCTAGATGCGCATGCGCCCGCAGGACATACCGAATCGCCTCGGCTGCGGCAGCGTCGCGCGCCACCGCTTTCGCAAGGTCCTGAAGAGCCGCGAGCCGGTTGCAGCGTGCGGCTCGTACTCGAGGCGATCGGCGTTTTCAGAGTTTGAGTACATTCCCTCGCCCTACTCGATGGCCGAGAGCATCCGCCGTCAGGAGCGGCTGCACCACGAGTCACAGGCGGAGCGGTTTGGTGGCGGTGCGTGGCGCGCGGCCGGCTCCGCCTGCCCGCTGAGGCACGAGGCCTTTGGGAGAGCCGACGGCTTTAGCGTATACCAGAGCGAGCCGGACCCGTTTGGCGCCGCGGAGGACCAGGCTCTGAGGCAAAAGTGGCTGCAGGACGCCGCAATCCTCGCGGGGCCGTTTCGCCCCGCGGGGCGCAACAAGGGGCGTGCCGGAGAGTCGTCGAGCGAGCTGCCGTCGGGCAGCATGCTGCCCGAGATGGTGCAGCAGATCCACAGGCAGCTGCAGGCCGACTGGTCGCTGCCGTTCGTCGTGTGCTCGACGGAGGACGAGCACATCGTGATTCGGGTCGAGCTCTCGGCGCTCGATGCGGCGCCCGGGCTCGTCGCCTACATGAACGCCTTTGCGCGCTCCAACCACTTCGTCAACGCGTACCGGCTGAGACGCACCGTCGAGGACTGGAACGTGACGCCCGGCGACGGGCACCTCTACTTCACGCTGCGGCCGCCGTGGGTGCGATCGACCTCCACGGAGACCTTCTACTCGCTGCACCCGGAGCAACGCGCTTGGGGGCCACGACGCCAGGTGGCAGCGAGCGGGGCGCGGGGCGACACATCAAGCATCTCTCTCTCAACAACAAGTGGCAGAGGTGAGGAGCTGCCGCTGGGAACCTAAGGCCGTGAAGATGCGGTAACGATTGCGTGGTGAGTGCTATAAATCCTATATAAAAACGACACTTGTCACTCTGGTCTCCGCACCATCTCACTTGCTCTCTGCAGACGACCCCGGCTGCCCGGCAGCCGGCTAGTCGCCGACCACCCCCCTCACAAAGAACCCTGCACAGAGATCGCACGGGCGGGGACCTGTTCCTTTTTGCCGATTTCCTAGTATGTTATGAAACACATTGCGTTTTGAATTCTTTTTCAGTTCGAGGTGGTTTCCAGGCCGCCACGCGCGGCGGAAATCGAGCTCCCGCCGCAATCGGAGCGGAGTCATGCTCGAGACGCTGAGACGGATCTCTGAAGCGCACGAGCGGCTCAAGCACCGGATCCACAACACGCGGATACCCATTCGCAACAAGCGCGCTCTCTTCCTCGTCAAGTGCTTTTACGCCGTCGCGCCTGTCGTCAGCGGCTACTGGATTATGCAGCAGGTGCAGCCGGACCCGAAGGAGATGGAAGATAAGCTGAGGGCCTTGGAGGCACGCGATCCAGAGAGGTTTGCCGAGGCGCGACGCGCGGCCGAGGCAAATCGCAGGCAGCTGCAGGAGGTGCTGCAGCAGGCGGAGCGGGCAGCTGCCGCCGCGCGAAGCTAGTGTTGTATGCGCACAGTAATCACTCTCTCACTCCCTGCTGTCTTGTCTTGGAGCTTGTACCTGCTGTGGAGCTTGTCCTGCGCTGGCTCCGTGCTCGATCTCCCCTCTCTCTCTGACTCGCCGCTGATGTCTCTTTTTACTTTCCACTTTGGTCTCCACCGTGCACTTTTCTCAGCATTTTACAGGACTCTCCGCCGCCGGGCTTGCACGGAGATTCTGCCGCACCACTGAGCCACGTCGCAGCCGCTGTATGAAGACTGCAGCTCGGCGGTGGGCGCGGGACGCACGCCGCACCGCCGCGGCCCCGTCCAGCCTCGGCGAGTTAAGGCTTGCTCGCGGTGGCCTCAGCGCAGCCTCAACGCGCCGCGCGTCGGCACTCGTCAAAGGGTGGTGGGGCCACGGGTGCGGGCAATCAGACACGTACTGCCACTCGCCGGCTCCGTAGACGCGAGTCAACAAGTCCGCCAGCCCAGGCACACGTGCCCGCACCTCGACGCGTGTGCGCAGTCCGCAGTTCACGTCCCTCCGTGCGTTGGCGCCGAACCAAGCCTGTGATGCTTCCGCCCAGAACTCGTCGGGGTTCTGCAGCATATAGGTGGAGCTTGCCTCGCCGAGATACCCCAACTCGCCACGGCGCTTGTCGTCTGTCGCCGCCTCGTACAGCTTGTCCACCTCGTCGTGCTGCTCTTCGGTGAGGCCAAGATTCATGATGCCGTGAGCAAACTCGTGCACAAGAATGCTCTCCTCCCCGAAGCCGTCCTCTGCTAGCATAAGCAGGTTCTCCTCTCCGACGCTGGTGCAGGCGCACCCCGGTTGGCCGCCGACACCGCGGCAGCCTGCGTCGAACGATCGGCCGTCAAAAGTGTCCCTGCGTCTCAAAAACCGATGAGCTGGAATGTCGGAGGTGCGTTGCTCGACGCCAATCACGCCAATGCACGCCTCGCCCTTGCAAAGGCGCTCCCTCAAGGGCAAGGGCGTGAGCAGCAACATTTGGCTGGCAACGTGCGCCGCAATCCGAATTGCCTCGTCAGTGACGCAGGGATACGCGCCAATCGGAAGCGGCAGCACCGCGGTGGCATCCGGCGGCACGACTGCAAGCGCAATCATGTCGAGAGTCAGGCGGTGGTCCAGGTAGTCCGTCACAGGCGGAAGCGTGTCTTCAGGCCGCACCGCCTCCTTTGTTGCCGGGAGCAACTCGATGTATTTGCCTAACCACTGCGGGCGCTCGACGACGAACGTTTGCCACGCAGGGTCGTCGTTGCCCAGGGTCGCGCTCTTGAAAAACACACAGCGCTCGCCCTCGAACTCCGCTTCCTTGCCCTCAAAGGTGAAGCCAAGGCAGCCGTCAGTCCTCACCGCGAGTGCCTTGGCTGCCTCAAAGCCGCACTCGCGCGCAAAGATGGTATTTCCTGCTCCAATTGCACCGCGGCGGTGGTTGCAGAGCCGTGTAGGACCTCCTTCGATCAGCCAGGTTTGCCAAGCAGGGTCATCGTTGCCGCCGGCCGAGCTCTTGAAGTACACGAACTTTTTCCCGGTGAAAGTGGCGTTGCATTCAATGGTGAATCCAACGCAGCCTTCGGTGAGTATCGCCACGGCCTTGGCCTCATCCAGCGTGCATTCGCGCGCCGCGAGATCGTTCCCGCCAGAGAGTGCGCCCGCCTTGCAATTCCACGCTGGTTCCTCCATGCGTACGAGCGTGTAAGAGTCGACCGTCGGCCGACGCGGACGCACGCAGAAATGGAGACCAAGCGCGCTGGGATGGGTGCCGGTGGCGTTGTGACGCTGCTCCTGGTAGCCGCCTTCACGGGGTTCGCGCTCTACAAGGACTGGAAGCGTGCGCTCCCTCTGGTCGGCATCGAGCTGATGTGCCTCTCGTGCCTGCGACGAGCCAGCATGGCTCGTCGCTCGACGGCAGCCTGCCCAGTATGCTCTTGGCATTCTGTACAACCTCGCCAGGCTCTCTGAGAAGGCCTGCAGGGCCGGCGCGGACCGCCTCGGGCGCGATGGCCCTCCTCAGTACCTACCTCTTCGATGCCTGTCGGCTCTCCAATCTCGTCGCCGACGGCAGGCCCGCATGGCGCGCTGCTCGATGGCAGCCTGCTCAGTACGCCTTGGACAGTGACTTCTGCCTCGCTGCTCTTGCCGCCTCTCGGATACTCGGCCATTCCAACGGCCAGGCCGCTCGCTTAAGGCTGATTGGCTAGACGAGCGGTCTACCTCCAACGGGGCGGTCTGGATCACGGGGATGACATCCTGCCTCCCGGCACGCCGGGAGGAGGTGGTTGCTCCGCCGCCGGACCGCCCTCTCCACCACCCTCGCCCAGGGATCTACAACGCTGTCTTAAGGTCCGACCTGTGGGCTCTGTCTGCGCTCGGCACCGGGCACCGCCTCGGTATACAAAATGGGCCTGTGGGCGGACCCTCACAGATCACAGATCACAACACAAACTCTCTCTCTGAATACAAAGAGTCGCAGTGCGCAGCATCACCAAGAACGTTCGCCGGGGGCGAGACGAGGCCTAGGCTCAAAATAGGCTAACCGGAGGAAAGAAAGCTTTGGACAAAGGAGAAACCGGCGACGCGGAGAAGGTAAAGAAAGAAAGAAAGAAAACGGACAACCCAAGGGAGGGATGGGAGAACGGCACGCCGCCACCACACAGGGATTTTAAGGGGAGAAGGTGGAGATGGTTACTGTGCCGTACCAAAGTCTGTGCAACTGTGAACAGCAGCTCCTGACCACGGCGCCGCAGGCGCCTGTTGATAGGTCCAGGTGATAGCCCTGGATGGGCAATGCATACGCCTCACTGGGCCTCAGATCCCCCGACCGCGTCCCGGTGCTCTGTGGTCGGATTTGTGACGCCGCCGCACCGCGCCGCGGCCGGGGGCCCTCCGGAGGCCGAGGATGGCCGTGACGGACCGGGACGAGCTCTGGGAGGTTCAGTGTCAGTCAGTGTATATATTGTAGAGACTAACCATGTGCACAATATCTCTCAGTCTAGCTAAGCCTGGGAAGGCGATGCCGGGGCCGTACAGCAGCTTGATGGTGCTTCGCCGGCGTGCGTCCCGGAGCGGTGCCGGACGGGCGGTCCGTGGGACAAAATCGGGGGACAACGCCGACTTCGCTCTGATTCGACTTTTGACTTCAAACAAAGCCTACCGCACGCGCCGCGACGCGGCGCGTGCGGTAGGCACTCGGGATTTTACCAGATCGGCGTGTTCACGCCGGGATCGTGTGCCCGACACTTTAGCCAAGTAGAGTAGGATTCCTAGTCCAAATGAAAATTCTGCGGTGGGCGGAAGGTCCCAGGGACTCGAGTACGGACTCCGCCGGACTAGGAATCCTACCTAGGTAGCTAGCGATGGCGAGGCTCGGCTCCGTCGACTTCTACAGCCTGCTCGGGCTGGAGCGCGACGCGTCGGGCGAAGACATCTCGCGCGCTTTCAAGCGGCTTGCGAAGCTGCACCACCCTGACCGCAACCCCGACGACGCGGCGGCCGCAGCCGCTCGATTTGCCGCGATCCAGGAGGCCCACGAGTGCTTGAGCGTGGCCGAGAGGCGGCTCTGCTTCGACGAGGCTCGCGCGCTTTGGCTCGACAGCCAGCTGGGATGGGAGGAGGTGCTCCTGCGAGACCGCCAGAAGCGCGTGGCGGCCGAGAGCGAGGCGGAGGCGGAGGCGGAACAGAACCGCGAAGCGCGGCGAGCGGCGCAGCATGAGGCAGCGGAGGCGGAAGTGCTGGCCAAGGCCAAGGCCAAGGCCAAGAGGGTGGAAGCGGAGCGGGTGGCGGCCGCGGAGCAGGCGGCTGCAGAGGGCGACTCGCTCAAGGCCAAGCGGCAGCGCAGGCGCGAGGCCAAGGCCAAGGCCGCAGCAGCTGCAGCAGCTGGCCCGGGGCCCTCTCCCGCCGTGAACACGCCCTGTGCCGAGGAGGCCAGTCAAATTAGCGCTCCGTCGAATGGGAATGGGGATACAGAGAGCGGAGAGAGCGCAGCTTCTGTTCCGCAGGAGAGAGACTGAGTGCCCGCCACAGAGTCCCGCGGCAAAAGCTTAGTCGTGTGAGACCGCAGACCGGAAGCTTCAAAAAATCGAGTACCTACAATCAAACACATAGGCCCCGGCGTCCCGCAGCGCGGGCGGCAGCGCTTCGCCGCGCGCTTGCGCGTGTGCTCGAAGTGTCCCGTGGGTGCGGCTTGAATCCTCTCGCTAGAGCCCGTAGAGGGGTTGTGTCACGCATGTGTGTGTGACGCGCTGCATGTGGCGGCTGGTGGTGGTGCGCAGTGTGTGGGGGAGGGCGGAGGCGAGAGTCGTATCCCACACTCGCCACACTGACACACCACAAGACACCTCCGGAGCAAGCGAGCACGCGATAGTCACTCACGTCTCAAGTTGCGCGAAGCCTGGGGCCCGCATGCGGACGCTTGCATGGCAGGCCGAGTCGTCGTCACGCCTCCCACCACCAATGAGGCGGGCGACTTCAGCCGCGTGGTCGGATACGCTGAGCGTGCGGGAGCCGAGAAACAGCCGCTGCAAGACCCGCTGGTGCTGGTCACGATAATCAGCGCCAGATCGGTTGATGCGCGCGGACCGCTCAAGGTTGGTTTCACCCTCCGCGGTGGCGCGCAGGATGTTTGAGGAGAGCAGGGCGGCGCAGCAGCACACGACGGTAGAGACGGCGCCGAGGATGCAGATTCCGCCGAGTCGCGTTCCGACAAGAAAGGCGGCGCCCTTTGGGAGCACAAAGAGGGGGTTGGAGTCGAACAGCAACTGGGCGAGGTCGACGGGGTCGTGCACATTCGCGATCGACCGTGCGAAGCTGGAGGATGGAGCCAAGGGGAAGGCGTCAGCTAAAATACATCTGGATGCGGATGCAGTGCAGCGGGAAGCAAACCCCGAGGCTGTGCTGAGCAGGGTCGGTAACGCGAGAAGGAGAGCGTAGACGGCAACATACCCTGTCCCGGCGACAATGGAAGTGAGGAAGCGGGCCATGTACGTCACGTTCCCAGCTCCGACGCAATTATGCATGAACGCGCAATGGTGGTCAAGCTTGAGGATGCACGTCCCACACCTAATCGAGCGACACGCGTACGAGACTGGCTGTCTCAGCAGGCTGGGCAGGGCGGTGGGACGGGAAATGAGTCAGCGGCGCCTCGAGCAGTGGTGTGCCCGCATGGGCTTGAGGTTATCGCACTTGTCGCACCATGGCAACAAGGACTCAATGTGCGACGGTTTGGCTGCCAGAGGCGCAACCAGTTTCGCCCAAGTGGTGCGGCTTAGTGTTGGAATGCGACCAGGGTCACTCCATGCTGTCAACCAGAAGTGATAAACCACATTCAGAGAGAGTGCGACTGAGATACTCCACACCGCGCCAAAGCTGCACGCAGAGTAACCAACCGACACGCTGGGCAACGCCCAGAGCAGCCCCGTGCCAATGATTGCGAGCGTCAATGCGAAGCTGCCGGCATGAAGAAGAAGTTCACGGTATCGCCTAGCGCGGCTACCTGGGCCGGATTGAGTGCCGGTCATAACCGGGCGCGCCAAGACCTCTGTTTGTCGCGAATGCGTTCACAGCCTCGTTTGAGAAGAAGACGTCCTATGGCGCTGCGCGCTGGTCTATGATAGGTTGAGGTGCGAACCCTCTGGGAGGTTCTGGGGATGGGGGGGACACAGATAGGTTGATAAGAATTTTACAACAAAACTCCCTCGCACAACACTGGGCACGGGACGTATGGTTCTTGCACTTGTGCAAGATTGGGCGTCTTCTGCCGCAGTCCCTTTGATGGGAGGCCCCAGGGTGGGGGCCACCTCGAACCCCCGGCCAGGGATTCGAGCGGAGGGTGCCCCGGATTCATCTATCCGTTGGGCCCCGGTACATTCATTAGAACTGATCACTTACGTTGCGCAGCAGCCGTCCCTTCGCCGACTGGACGGCAGTGCGCTGCGTCGTCGCTCTGTCGTGCACGCTCTCGTGCCTCGTTGTTGTGACACGGGAGTAGAGTCGAGAGGTAGCCCTCGACGAGACGACCGGCGCTGCGATGCCAGACCTCACTGCCGCCGAGCTCAGCATTCCGGCCGAGCAGCACCCCGATCCCGCAAAGCCACTGGTGATACCCGTCGACTCAACAGTGGTGGGCTCTACCCTGCGCTTCATTCCGTGGTCTGTGGTGGGCAATCCGGCCTTCCTCCAGCTGCCCCCTCCTCCTCCGGGGATGCAACCGTCGTGGGTCCAGATTCCGCAGTGGGTCGCCATCAGTGCGCTGCTCCCCTTCAGTGAGCCCGAGCCCGCTGTGGCCACCCACTTTGACAGGCTCAGCGTCTTGCGGCTGGCCGTATTGGCCGCAGCTTGGCGCCGCATCCTGAATTTTCTTCTCAACAACAAGGTTGGGCGTGCCGTGTGCGTGTTCATCAACAGCCGGACGCGGCAGTTTCGCGGCAAGCCTAGGTACCACGGTCCACGGTCATGAAGCGCCGGCCGGTTTCATTTGTCACGACGGTCACCCAGGGTTTTGGCAAACACGAACTCACGTGTATCTCTAAGAGTCCGCTCGAATTCTCTTTTCGTGTGTATCTGTGTTGGTGCCAGTGCGCGCCAGTCCCTTGCAAAGAAAGAAAGAAAGAAAACAGACAACCCAAGGGAGGGAATGGAATGGGAGGACGGCACCCTTGCCCATCGAGGGACGCGGCGTCGAAAATTCTCTTTTCGAAAGGAGGTAGAGCCCGCCGCACGCGCCGGCGCTGCCATCGAATGCACGCTGCCTCCGGCGTCCTTCTGGTCGACCGGCACATTGAAAAGAACGGTGGCACCTCCTTCCGATCGGTGCTGACGCAGGCTGAGCGTGCTGGCCACTGCATGTACTGGGGCTTCTCACAAAACTCGGCCGCATGGAACTCCACTGTGCACGCGCTCCTTCGACTCTCGCCCGAGGCGCCGCCTCCCCGGCTGTGCATCGAGGCGCACAGCTACATCGACTACGGCATTCCTTGGCGGAGGCGGCTGCGCCAGCTCGTGGCGCTGCGGAGGGTGTGGCGAGAGCGGAGCGTGCCGATGAAAATGCTCCTGACTGTGCGCTTTCGGAGTCCGCTCGACTACTACCTCTCCTTCTTCACGTGGATCGTCGCCGCTCGGCAGGCGCGAGATGGCAGGCGCTTCGGGCACAACTTTTCGCAGTGGGTCGCGGTGTCGCCCAACCTGCAGGCAGAGATCCTGCTCTACTCGCGCTCGGCCAACACCGCCGCGTATTGCCCACTCGTGCATGAGGAGCGGACGGCGTGGGCGGCGCGGTGGCGAGGAGGAGACCACAACGCGACGGCGCGGGCGGCCGCTGCGTGGCGGTCGCTGCGGTCGTACGACGTGGTCGGCACGACCGAGCGCTTCGACGAGAGCGCTCTGCTGGTGCTGCGCCGGCTCGGCTGGGGAGAGGAGGCGCCCCCCACCTCCGTGCCTCGGCCTGCCCTGGTCTGCGGCGATGCGCTTCGCCGCCCTCCCACCCCGCCACCTCTCTGCACGCCAGGTCGCCCTCAGCGCCGCCGCGACGGTGCAGCCCGGCTGCATGCGGGGCGAGCCAGCGACGGAGAGCAACTGGTGGTGCTACCTGCGGGGCGCGTCGAGGCGCGACGAGCGGAGACGCATCCTGAGGAGAGTGTGCCCGGACATGGGCGAGTGCGCCGCGCTGATGCGGCGGTACGCGCCCGTCGACTCGCTCCTGTACCGCGAGGCCAGCCGCCGCCTCAACGCGTCGATCGCCGAAGCGGGGCCCGGTTTCCTCGCAGAGCTGGCGGCGCTCAAGGGGCGGGGAGGCGTGTGGGGCGAGGCGAGGCGGGGCGAGGCGGGGCGGGCAGGCCGCAGAGACGCCTGCCACTGGGTGCGCCGGCCCGGCGGCTGCGCCTCGCCAGCCCGCCGCCGCCTCGCCGAGCTCCTCCGGCCCCGCGCGCGAGGCGGCGCCAAGGCGGCCCTCGCCTTGGAGCCGCCGCTCTCTTCCCTCTCTCAGGCGGGACGCGCCGCGGGAGTAGGCGGACGCCGGCTGCTCCGACTACGAGGGCAAGTGGGCGCACGCCGCCGAGCAGAACTTCTCCTCTCCGCGCGCCTGCTTCGTGGCGGACCAGGCGGTGATGGGGCCCGTCTGGAGGCAGCACGGGCAGCTGGAGCCGGCAGGGGTGAGCCGCGCCGCCGCCCGCACCCGCGCCGAGCCAGCCTGCTCGGGCCCGCTGTGATCGCCCAGAGCTCCCTGCTCTCGTAGGTGCGGGACTTCGTTCGGCGGCACCACACTGCAGAGCCGGGCCGGGGCGTCGTGCGGCGAGGACAGGGAGGCGAGGGAGGGAGGCGCAGCACGGGGAGGCTTGGCGCCTCCTTGGATGCAGCTGCGGCCCTTTGGCACAGACGCCCAGGAAGAGCAATCTGAAGCACGCTGGACGCGCTTACTCTTCCGACGCTCTCTCCGGTTCTCATTTTGCGGACTTTTTCTGATCGTCTCTCTCCACGGCCACGCCGGCGCGCTGTCCGCACGGCGTGTCCGCAGCGCACACACCGCGGCATCACGATCACCCCGAATCAGAGCATTGTCATGGCAAATGTGTGGCGCCAGCACGAAACCCTGCGGCCAGTGAGCAGTGTGGGTCTGTTGTGGTGTACGTATATTCGGGGGTTTTGAGTATGAGCCCCTCTCGCTGAGAAAATCGGCTTCGTTTGGTCACAACAGGGCCGCCGAGAGAGACAGAGAGGCGCTGCCAATCGACGGCCGTGCGGTGCGGGCCCGAGCCCCGCGTATCGAGTGACCAAGCAGAGGTTGCGGCGCCAGGCCAGCCCGCGCCAGGCCGGCCCGTGACCTGCGAATTCACGGAGTGCACGGCACATGGATCTTTTGCAGCTTTCTCTGTATTCGAGCGTTCGCCGCCACTCGAGTTTGCCGGTCCTGAGGTGAGGCGAGTCGTGGTAGATCAGCCCTCTCTCCGCTCTATTAAGTGCTCTCGCGGTAGATGTGTTCTGGCGGCGCCTGGGACGCATCGTATAGGACCCGCGCGGAGGCCGGATCGACAGCGTGCCATACATCGCTTCAGCTCAAACTCGGCTGCATCGCAGGCGCCAGAATAAGATTTACGCGGATAGCACTGGCTTGGCATCAGCCCGAGCTCGCGTTTACACCGATGCAGCGCGTCGAGAGTATTGGTGCACGCACGGGCAGGGCCCGAGTCCCTGCGGAGGATCGAACGCGACATCACAAGTGCTCCACCCCGGGGGGGTGTGGGTGGGTGGCGGGGGGGGGGGGGCAAGTCGCCACAACGAGCTCGGTTCTCCCCGGGCCGAGAGTCTGCAAAGGGATATGAGAGAGACTATGGAACGGGTTGGGTTAGGGTGGTTTAGCGCCCCCTAACCCAGGGCGGTTTAGCGCCGTTTAGCCTACTGTATGGTCCTGCGGCGTGGTCGTTGTGAAGCGAAGTTGGCACGACCACCGCCCTGCTTCGCAGACCGGGCAAGGAGGGGCCTGCTCCCGTTCCGCGAGGAACAGGAGGTTTCCCCCCCCTCCCCCGGCCTGAGCAGCGGCGGATGGAAGGCAGCCCCTTGAGTCGAGGGCGGCGCGACCATTGCCCTGCTCCAAAGACCAGAGGCCGAGGTCAGTGCAGATGTTCGCGTCGCCCCGCTCCGCCCCGCCCGCCGCCGCGCCACGCCGCCGCCTCGCGCAGCCGCCGCGCCGCGCCCCGCCCCGTGATTAATAATTAAGAAAGGTGAAGCCTTGTGTCATCTCAAAAAGAGAAACTTACGGGCGTCTGGGGGGCGCCCGACTGAGGTGACCGCTCCTGCACGCCCCCGGGCGCTCGCCTCACCGTGCCTCGCCTCTGCAGCCCTTCTCGCCGCTGCCCCGCCTCCCGACCCATCATGCGCCGCCCCGCCGGCCGGCGCGGGCACCACCCCACCCCTTGCGCGCCCGCCGCTGCCACTCGCTCTCCGGACCACCCCCTCCCGAATCCCCCACCCCCCGAACACCCCTCTCCCGCCCTACATCCAAACCCGGCCGCCGCAAGCGCACTCGCCGCCGATGCAAGCGCCGCCACTCGCTGCACGCCCCGGGGGGCGAACGGCCGCTCTTGCTGCGTCGCTGCCCTTTCGCCGCTCGAGCCCCCTCGCCCGCCGTCATAGATCCATGGTGCTCGAGGCCTCCTTCCTCTGCATCGACAACTCGGACTATATGCGGAACGGCGACCACGCGCCCTCGCGGATGGAGGCGCAGCTGGACGCCGTCAACTTGCTGTCGGGCGCAAAGACGCAGAGCAACCCTGAAAACGTCGTCGGGCTGCTCTCGACGGCCGGGCGAGGGGTGGAGGTGCAGGTGGCGCTGACGGGCGACGTCGGCCAGGTCCTCTCCCTCTCGCACGGCATCAAGATTGGCGGCAACGCCAACTTGTCAGCGGGCATCCAGGTGGCGCAGCTCTCGCTCAAGCATCGGCAGAACAAGAACCAGCGGCAGCGCATCATCGTCTTCGTGGGGTCGCCGGTGCAGGAGGAGGAGGCGGCGCTGGTCAAGCTCGGCAAGAAGCTCAAGAAGAACTCCGTCGCGATGGACATCATCAACTTTGGAGAGGAGGCGCCCCGGGCCGCAGACACCGTAGAGAGAAGGAAGGGGGGAGAAGGGCCGCGGAGAGCCGCAGACAAACACAGAGAAGAAGGGAGCCGCGGGGAGCCGCGGGGAGCCGCGGGGAACGCCCGCACGCGCGAGCGCCGCCCGCCCCGCGCGCCCGCAGGCGGAGAACGCCGCCAAGCTCGAGGCGCTGCTCAACGCCGTCAACTCTGACGACAACTCGCACCTCGTCACCGTCCCTCCCGGCCCGCACGTCCTCTCCGACATCCTGCTCTCGTCGCCCATCGTGCAGGGCGAGGACGGCGCGGGCGCCGCGATGGCCGGCATGGGCGGCGGCGGCGGCGAGGGCGCGGGAGACTTCGCCGGCCTCGCGGTCGACCCGAATATGGACCCTGAGTTTGCGTGGGCACTGCGCGTCTCGATGGAGGAGGAGCGCGCGCGGCAGGAGGCGGCGGCAAAGGCGGCGGAGGAGGCGGGGGCGGGCTCGGCGGAGGGCGCCGCGGCGAGCTCGGGCGAGGGCGCGGCCGCAGCGCCGGCGAGCGACGCCGAGATGGCGGAGGCGGCCGGCGGGGCGGCGGCGGGCGACGCGGACGAGCAGGCGCTGCTCGAGCAGGCGCTGGCCATGTCGATGCCCGGCGCGGCGGCCGAGCAGCCAAAGACGCCCGCCACCGCGCCGCCCGCCGAGACGCCCGGCGCTCCGGTCGGCGGCGCGTCGGAGACCCCCGCGTCCGCCGCGCCGCCGCCGTCCGCCGTGCCGGCGCCCGCGCTGGAGGACGCCGTCATGGCGGAGGCGGACGAGGACGAGGCGATGCAGCTCGCGCTGGCGATGTCCATGTCTCAGGGGGGCGGCGGCGAGTCCACCACGCCCGCGCCCGCGCCCGCACCCGCGCCCGCCGCCGGCGACATGTCCGCAGTCTTCCAGGACCCGAGCTTCCTGCAGTCTGTCCTCGGCTCGCTCCCCGGCGTCGACCCAAACGACCCGCGCATCCAGTCGGTCCTCCAAAAGCAGGACGGCGACAAGAAGGAGGACGAGGACAAGAAGTGACGCCGCCGCGGGAGCTTGGGCTGCTCTTCCTTGCGCTGCACCTCGAGACGCGGGACGGCCTGCGGCGCGCTGCGCATGCCGGACGCTGCATGCCGTGCGTTCTGGTGTTTATGCTCGAAGAACCTTCCCGTGGCGCACCTTGATCTCGTTGCGCAGCGCGGCTTCTTTGGGTCTAGTGCGTCAGCGCGGCAACGTCCGCCCAACAGGCGCTCATTGCGCCTCGGAGGCACTGGGCGGCGGCTGAATTCGAGGTTAGGGGTATGATCAAAGGAAATTTTTTGGCGATTTGCCAAGCCGACCCTTCCTAGGAACATCACCCCCGGAATTTTTCTTTCTCCTTCAGCCTTCTGGCCGCCCTGCTGGTCGCCGCGGCTCTTCCTGGCCGTCTCCCGGACCACTCCCATCCATCGAGGACAGGCCCTGCTATACCAGGCTGCTGCGGGCGTCATGGACACGGATGAGGCGTACGGGGACGACTGGGAGGACGACGACTGGCTCGATGAAGGCGACGCTCTGGGGCAGCAGCGGCGCAGCCTCAGCGAGGAGGTTCGGAACGCGGTGCTTGGAAGCATATCCATCGCCGTGGGCGGCGCATCGCTGGTGGCGGGCGTGCTCATCTTCCTGAGCGAGCACCCGCAGCGCCGTGCGCGCCACTCGTGGTCGCCTCGCGCTCCTCCGTCACCGCCTGCGTGGCCTCCACCGCCTCCGCCGCCACCCTACCCGCCCCTCCGCCCACAACCGCAGAGCCCTCCGCCGCCGCCGCCGCCCTCCCCGCCGCCGCCGCCGTCGCCACTCGCTCCGCCAGCCCCGCCGGAGCCGCCGCCGCTGCCGCCGCTGCCGCCCCTGCCGCCCCTTCCTCCCGGGACACCTCCGGCCCCGCCGCTGCCGCCGCTGCCACCCGAGACGCCTCCCTCTCCGCTCCCACTCCCGCCGCCGCCACCGCTGCCGCCGCCGCCGCTGCCGTCTCCACCATTCTCGCCGCCCGCGCCACCCTCTCCGCCCTCGCCGCCTTCGCCGCCCTGGCCACACCCGCCAACACCACCGTCGCCGCGCCCGCCACCGCACCCGCCGCCGCCGCCGCCGCCGTCGCCTCCGTCGCCTCCGTCGCCTCCTCCACCGCCGCCGAGCCCGCCGCCCAGCCCGCCCTGGCCGCCGCCCCTGCCGCCGGCGGCCCCGCCCGGCCTGGTCGAGCGCGTCTTTCGCGGCTGGGAAGGGAGCATCCGCTGGCTGAGCATCGCGCTGGTCGTGCTGTGGGCGGCGGAGACGCTGCTGCGGCCGGGAGGGGGGGCGATCGGCGCGGCGAGCCGCGGCACGTACCGCGCGGCCGGCAAGGCTTGCCGCGGCGTCGGCCTCTTCTTCGGCTGCGTCGACGAGCAGCGGTGCCACCTCCCCCCCGGGGTGCGGGCTGCACTTTGCTACCCGCGTCCGCTCACAGCCTCTGCGGCTGCGAGGTAGGCTCGCGCTCCGCCCCGACGAGTACCACCGCGAGGGGGAGCACTTCGGGCCGGCAGACCCGCTGATGGCACAGATTAGCAGAGACCGGCCGAGACCGGCCGAGACCGGCCGAGATTGGCCGAGATTGGCCGAGATTGGCCGAGATGGCGGACCACCCCGGCCGCTGCTCGCTCCCGCTGTGCCGTTCTGGCACCTCTGCTCAGACCGCGCTCTGCTTTCTCAGGTCCGCTCCTCGCTCGCGCGCGCCTCGCGGCCGAGGACTCGCGTCGCGGTGCGGCTCTGCCTGCTGCTCTGCCACCTCCTCTTCGGGTACGCGCAGTTCTCGTGCAGCTGGCAGCGGAGCTCGAAGGATGACTTGCGCGGCCGCGGCATGTTCACGGTGCGGGCAGGCGGTGGGGAGGAGGCCCCGCCCCCATTGCCGCGAGACGCTCGCCCTGCTGCAGGTCAAGCTCGACGCGAGGGTGGAGGTGGCGCTCGGAGGGCTGCTGTGGAACGTCGTCCAGTCGAACCGGCCGCGCGACTGCCCCAACCTCGACTGCCGCAACGAGGTGAGCTACGAGCAGTACGTCGCAAACATGACGAGCGAGAACCCGGCGAGATGTAGCCGAGATACAGCCGAGATAGAGCCGAGATATGACGAGCGAGAGCCCGGCGCGCCGTCGGGCGGCGCGGCGGCGCGGCCGGGACTGTCCTCGCGAGCGCGGCCGCAAGGTGGGGCTGTAGGCGTGCCAGCTGATCGACTGCGGCGAGGCGCGCTTCTCGAAGGTGCTCTTCGAGTACTCTTACTTTTACTCGATCCGGCAGCTGTGGACCACAAACAAGACGCTGACCGCCGACGGCGAGCTTAAGGACTGCGGGCCGGACGAGGAGCTGCCTCCGGGCGCAGTGCGCATCTACCCGGGCCGGCTCTCTGCGGGCACCATCTTCGTCGCCTCCTTCATCTGGCCGCACGTCAAGCTCCTCCTCCTCCACAAGTTCTTCTTTGCGGCGCACACGGTGACAGCCGCCGCCAGCGAGCCATCGCCGCCCCCCCGGGGCCGACGTCTGGACCCCCCCCCCCCCCGGACAGGTGCCCACGCGGCGGAATGGCAACTTTTGGCTCGCCTTCTTTGGCAAGTGGTCCTTCGCCGACATCCTCATCCTCATCGCCCTCCTCGGCGTGCTCGACATCGGCGTGGCCGCGCCCATCGCCACCGAGGCTGTCACCGGCTACATCCCCGCCGGCATCATCGGCTGGTACTCCTTCTCGTTCGCCGCGCTCATCTCCTCTGTCCACGGCTACGTCGAGGGCCACCTCAAGATCGAGGGCCAGGCCGGCATGTACGTCTTCTGCGCGGCCGTCGTGCTCTCCCTCGCCCTCGGCGCCGTCGCCGCGTCCTTCTCCCCAAGCCGAGATCCCCTTCCCCGTCACAGCCTCGCCGCGTGCGTAGGGGTCGTCATCGAGATGCTCGACGAGAGGTACCGGTTGCGCCTGGTTGCGCGACCAGGCGCCGTCACCCCGGCTCTCTCCGGCCCACCAGTCGCCGCTCTCAAAGCCCGAGCGCCGACGCACGTAGGCACGCTGCCCGGCACGCTGCCCTCGCCGACTCTGCCCGTCACGAGCGGCCGCTCCCTCGCGCTGCTGGCGCCCGGCCACTTCGAGCAGCAGCTCTCCGGCGGCACGGCCTTGGCAGTGGACGCGCTCGGCAGCGGCCGGCTCGGCTCGCCACGGCACGCCGCGTCGCTCCGCCGCGAGGGCGTCGGGGGGAGCGGCGACCGGCTGAGCGAGGGCGGCGGGCTGGCTGGACGGGGCGACGTCCCTCTCTCCGCGCTGGTCGGAGATCAGCCGCTGCCGGGGGGGGGCGCTCGGCACGAGGGGCCGAAGGGCGAGAAGGGCGGCCCGTGGTGGCGCGGCTTGGGGTTGGGGGAGCGGCCGACCGGCCAGCACCGCAGCCCGCTCGATGGCGCGGCTCCAGAGGCGGCTCCAGAGGCGGCTCCAGAGGCGCGGGGGAGCGCCGGAGGGGAGGAGGGAAGGGCTGGGGGCGAGCAGGGCAGCGGCACGCTCACTCTAGAGCAGGGCGCGCCGAGCAGCGCAGACGCGGCCGCCGACGCGGACCGCGGTGCGCAGGACCACGATCGGCGCAGAGAGGTCGAGCCGAGCCGAGCGGACGAGGCGCAGCAGGAACGCGCGCACGGGGGCGACGGTGCGTCGGCGGATGCAGAGCCGGCGGACGCAGTGAGCGAGCGGCGGAGCATCGGGGCCGACGCACTGCAGTGGATGGAGATGGTCCGCAGCCGCGCCCGGCTGGCCGTCTCGTTTGGGAGCGAGGGTTTCGTTTCGCCGCCGGAGGAGAGCGGCGCAGACACGCCTCCTGCGGCGTCCTTTGTCGCAGCGCTGCCACCGGGACCGGCGGCTGTGAGGGCGGCTGGCCCATCTGAGGCTGGCGCGGCTTTGCCCGCCGAGCACGAGCGCGCCCACGTGCGATTGGCGCCGCAGCTGCAGGCGATCCACTCGGGACCGCTCAGCTACAAGGAGTTTGTGGCGACCCTCGACGACAGGGTTGGGCCTTCGGAGGCGAACAGTCTGTGGAAGGCGCACGTCCTCGCTTTCGACGAGACGTGGCCACAGTCGCCGTCCCATGCGGCGGCGGCCGGCCGCGGCTTTGGGCTGGGGGAGGACGATGCAGACTACCCTCCCGAGCTGCGCTTGTCCACTCGAACGCTGGCAGGCAGCCAGGACAGCTTGCCTCCGCTCGCTCAGCAGCAGGATCGCCTCTCGCTGCCGTGGTCGCTCAAGGCGGCTCTGCCCGGGGCACGGTCGTTGTCTGGGTCGCACGAGTTGCAGTCGCAGCAGCAGTCGCAGTCGCAGCAGCAGCAGCAGCAGCAGCAGCAGCGAGCCGAGAGGGACAACTTGCCCCACGGCCATCTCTCGCACAGGCACCCCTCTCCGGAGCTGCGGCAGCCGACCGCCGCCGGGCGGAACATCTCCAACCGCAGCCGGAGCTATGAACGCGGCGGCACGGGCGGTGGGGGAGAGGTGGGCAGCCGTTCGGTCTCGATGAGCCGGCTCGACGAGCAGCGCTCGGACGTCGGTTTGGCGTCACGACTCGGCTCGCCCGTCGGCAGCCACGGCCAGCTTGGAGCCGCCTCGATGGGCACGTTCCCTCACATCGCGTCGTACCCGTCGCTCTGCTGCTCGGGCGTCGGACACGCGCCGTCCAAGCTCGCGCCGACGTCGCTCACGCGCGACGGCCGCTCCATCTCCATCTCGTCGCAGCCCGGCTTCCACACGTCGGAGTCGTACCTCTCGCTCGCCTCGCTCGCCGTCGGCACTCCGGCGCGCAGGGGAGGGGCGGCCCCCGCAAGCGGCGCACTGCAGGCGGTGCCCGCGCGCCGGGGCTTGGTCCCGTACCGCGTGCGGGGCAGGTGGGACGTGGCGTGCGCGCTGCCAGAGACGGCGTTCCAGCTGGCGCTGCTGTCGGCCACTCTCTACTTCCTTGTGCGCGCGTGGACCGCGCCGCTCATCGCGCGCCACGTCAGCGGCTCCTTTCTCCGCTTGTTCGCCGTCGACGCGGCGCGGCTCGGCGACTCGAACGAGCGGCGGATCAACGGCGGGCACTCGCGCCCGTCAGGTCGCTGCCACTCCTCAACTCACGGCCACTCTTCGTCTCCCAGGCGAGTACTCGCTCGTCGAGCTCGGCCTGCTCGCGGGGCAGGGCGGCGGGCTCGACGCGGGCCTCTCGGCCACCTTCATCATGTTCATGGTGATTGGCCCCGTCGCGCGCACCGTCTCGCAGATGGCTCTGCTGCTGCTGCCGTGGCCGCTTCCGGAGCTGCGCCACCTCCACCGGCTCTCCCGCAACGTGTCGGTCTTTTACGCGCTCGAGGTGTTTGTGCTGGTCGTGCCGCTGCTCGACATGACCATCTCCGACCTCGCCAACGGCATGCTCACGCCGGCGAATTTCCCGCTCTGCGGCGACCTCGACGCGCGGTGCGCGGCGCCGCGCCTCCAGATTGCCCGAGATCCACGGCAGAGTCACCCGCGATTGCCCCTCGACGCGCGGCGCCGCTCCCCGGCACCTCCTCTCCCCCGGCCCCTCCCCTCCCCCGGCCCCTCCCCTCCCCCGGAACCTCGTCTCCCCTGGAACCTCGTCTCCCCCGGCACCTCCTCTCCTCCGCGCCGTGGGCCGTCTGGCGCGCCGCACGCCGAGCGAGGCCCCGCCGGGCGCAGGTACGGCGGGCCCTGCTTGGAGCTTGGGGTTGAGAAGCGCGTCGGGTACTACTATATGGCCGCCTCGGTCTTTCTCTACTTCCTCTCGGGCATCGACGGCTCTCTGGTTCACAAGCGGATCCACCGCCTCCTCCACCCATACGACGACCCGCCGCCCACACTGCATTGCGTCTGCGGCCGGCCGCCCCCTCGGTACAAGCGCAGCCGCAAGCCAGCGGCGCTGGCCCGGGGTCTCCGGGCCTGAGCCTGCCCGCAGTCCTACCAGCGGCATCTTGCCGCCGAGACGATCCGTTGTCTCCCGTACAGTTTTGAGATGTGATTGTGCACAAGAGAGTTGTCAGGCGGGCGCTGGTCATCGCGATCCGGTCGAGGCCCCGCCCGCGCGCGCTCTCGTGGGAACCTCTCCCCGTTTGGCCTGTTCGGATATTCGAGTGCGTCTGGCCGGTGTTACTGCGGTCGTGACGTCAGCGGGCAGGCGCGCGACTATTAGAGGCGTGACGGCGAGATACGCCGCGCTCATGCGGTGTGTGTGGGTCACGGCAACCCTGTCTTATGTATTTCTTATTTGTACTGTACTGTGCGCACGGAGACCCCACCTCGACCGCTGTACAATCATGCTGCCTGTGCCGGCGACTGACGATGTGTTTTCCGCGCGGGCGGCACGCCCCTGAAATACGAGCTCCCGTGCAAGCGCTGCACAGCAGCCGCCAGCTGTCGCTGCTGCGAGGTTAACCGCTGGAGCTGCTGCTGCTGGGCCCGCATCGTGCACACGTTCCGAGCAGCCGACTCGTGCCGAGCCACGGAGGCGTCGATCTCGTGGCTGATCTCGCACAGGATGTGACGGAAGATGTCCCGAGCGGCGGCGAGATTCCGCGCCTCCACCATGGTTTGACGGTCGGGCCGCTCCTTGGAAATGGGCAAGGCCGGCTTCGTCGCCCTCGTCGACGGCCGGACCGGGTGACGCTGCGGCGCCTCCTCGAAGGCGGTGAAACCGACCCGGTTGGTGCTTGTAATCAACCGGGCTGGCTTCGTGTGAGGCTGGACGGCGAGCTGGGCCAGCTCGTCCTCGACGTTCTCCTCCATTGGCATGGCGTTTGCGAGCGTCTGGTAGACCATGCTCTCTGGAATCTCGTCCGTGCGCAAGGAAAAGCCGTCAGGGGGCGACACGGCGCAAACGAACGGTTAGCGTGGCGCGGTAGTTTTTCGTCCAAAAGTCAAAGTCGCCAAGGAACAGACTCTACTGATTTACCATGCGCGGCGCGCCAAAAGCGGCGCCCCTTCGCATTTTCCTTTTCGGAAACCGCCGGCGCCGCGTCACACAAAACTTACGGAGTTTTGTTTCTGAGACCGGGGAACGGCCGCGGGGAAGTCGGAAAACGCGCGGCGGCGATATAATTCGATAAAACCACACCGATATACCATGTATGTACACTGGCGGGCGGGCGGGCGGGGCGGGGGGCGGGGCGGGGCGGGGCGGGCGGGGGGGGGGGGGGGGGGGAAGCAATCGCCGTGTGTGTGCGGACAGCGGGACAGGGAGGTGACGAACGAATGGCGCGGTTTACGCCATCGTCACGCGCCTTGCACGAACGAACGAGAGAGGGAGGAGGGAGAGAGAGAGAGGGGGGGGGGGGGGGGAGAGATGCGTTCTGCGCGCAGTTGGTTTCGTTCGGCAGGAGCCGCTCTTGCTGTCCGAAAACCAACTTTTTCAGTGTATGAGTATGTATGGTCTCTCTCCCACAAGCTAACTGATGGTGATGCTGCCACCAGCCTACCCTTCACGGTGCACTCAACCCGCAGAACGGCGGTCTTCTTCTTACCAGTGAGTACAGCATAGTCGCGATTTGCCGGCGTGCGTATGAGCTCACTAGCTAGAGCTCACACTAGAGGCCGTCATCGCATTCGCCTTCCTGGTACCCCGCTCTTGCTTGTGCGTCTTGGGTCCGGGGCTGTGTTTTTGTGTGAGTACAGCCCCCTTCACAGCCTTGTTATTGAGAAGAAAATACCTCCTATGGCAAGAAGAACTTCGGCTGAGGGCTGACAAGCTGCCGAGCCCAAATCACTGTGAGAGTCGTGATTTCTTGTTGGTTAATAAAAATCCCTTCTGCAAAACAGAGCTTCGGCAAGTGTTTCTAGCACATCGCCGATGTGCTATGGGCTTCGTGCATCTGTTTTTGAGGAGTTTCTGGCACTCGGCGACTTCCATAAGAACGGGCCCAGCACCGCGGTCTTCTTCTTACCAGTGAGTATACAACCCCCTTCATGGATCTGCGGCGACGAATGCGAGACTCGGGGTCAGAGGCGCAGGCAGGCGAGGTGCTCAGACTGGGACGAAACAGAGTTCCGGACGAGTACAGGCGCCTGCGCACCGAGACAGAGCTGACCCAAAGAATAACGGGACTCTATAGCGCCACGGCCATCGCCGGCATGGTGAGGAGAGAGCGTCTACTCGGTGGAAGCAGGTCGCTTGAAGAGCTGCGGCTGTGCGCAGAGCTGGGGATGCTGCACGATGCCTCCCTAGAGGTCGAGCGGCAAATCCGGCGCGAGCTTCGAGAGTATACACGAGGACGACGACCCGAAAAAGGACCTCATCTTTGAGGGGCGCCACGTGCTCGACACAGTGAGACAGGCCGCGGTCAAGGCAAACTCCAGGAGGCAGGCGAACATTCCGATGATGGAGTGGATCCTGCGGCGGACGGGCTCCCCTTCGGCGACCGCAAGTCCACTAGGCGAAGGGGAAGACTGGGTGGAAGCGGCGATCAATGAGGAAATCTTCGCCGACGCGCTCGACACGTGCAGAACAAAGCAGAGCGCGGGGAGTGATGGGTGGCAGTGCATCCTGCTGAGATGGGCCCCTCGGTGGCTCCAAGAGGCGTATCGGCAGTCGCTGGCTCAAGTCGTCCGCGAGAGGCAGTACCCTCCCGAGTGGAGGGAGTGGTTTGTAACCATGATCCCGAAGGCGAAACGGGATCCGTCCCTCTTCAAAAACCTTAGGGACATCTGGCTGGTACCGCACGGCTGGAAGATCGTCACTGCCTGTTTCTCGGCGGAGTACAAGAGGGTCAACGCCGAAACTCAGCCCCATGCGGCCCACGGCTTCAGACAGCTCCGGAATGCAGCACAGGCGAGCCTCGTGGTCAAACTGCAGACCGAGGAGGCGGCCATACTGTGTCAGCCTCTGGTTCGGATGTACTTTGACCTGGAAGGGTTCTTCATGGGGGTCGTCAGAGCGGTTCTCCTGGAGCTCGAGAAGAGAATAGGCGTCTTCCCTGAAGTGACGGAGGCCATGCAGGCGCTACAGGGCGAGGCGCAAGGGAGGATCATAACGGCGCACGGCGCGACGGGGGGCTTTCCCGTCCCGGACGGCACAGGACAGGGCTAGGGCCGACTCGGTGGAGACGGCGGCCCGCATGGGGGTGCTGTCGACCTTCTACCTCCGGCACGCCTATGGACGGGACAGCCCGGGGCTGCATGAAGAGGACGGGGTGCTCTCCGCGAATGCGGGGGTGCTGTGCGCAGGGTGCGGGGAGGAGGCGCCCGGGCTCGGGGCGCGGGACGGGGAGGGGGATGGCGGAGAGGGGGGGGGCGTGGGCGAGGAGGGGGAGGGGGGCGGTGGGGAGCGGGGGAGGAAGAGGGGGAGGGATCCGACTGAGGAGGAGGCGGTGGGGGTGGAGGGTGGGGAGGAGGGGGGCGTGTTTGGGGAGATGGGGGATCGGGGGGGACCGACAGGGGGGGGGAAGCGAACCTCGAGGAACAAGCATAAGAAATCGCGCAGTCGGAGGGAGGCGGGCCGGACGCGCACGGGGAGCCCTGAGGGGGTGGGGGGGGGGGGGGGGGCGTCGCTGACTCGAGCGGGCGCTGTACGTTTTGGGGGGTCTATTACCGGGGGGGTTTATTACGTCTCGAAGGTGCTATGTTTACTTTTCCCCCCGGGGGGACCCCCCGCCTTGCCCCCCCCCCACCCCTTTCCCCAATGGGACTGGCCCCCCCCCCCCCCCCCCACACGGCCTGCCCATCTCGGCCGATGTGGCGCACCCGACCTCCGTCACCGCTCGCACGCAGGTGAGGAAAGGCACGACTCATAATGAATGATGGGCCTGCTCATCCCGGAGTGGTTCGATCCCACATAAACCCGAGACGGTGACGGGATGCTGGCTGGTGGTCTCAGGCCAAGTGAGGTAGTGCATCAGACTATCCCGGATCCTGCTGAACAAGCTCCTCTTGTAGCTCGATCGGTCACACCGCCATCGCCGTCGGGGAGAGGGGGGACGACACTGCTTCAGCAGCGTGCACCTCGATCCTGTACCGTGTTTGTTATGACATCCAGTGCTCAAGTGCTCAACCCCCTTCACAGCGCGCGCGACCCGCACCGCCTGCAAACCGTAGCCGATAGCTCTAGCGACCGCCGCTGCCGGGCATGGGGCAAGGCGGGAGCCGAGAGTTCGAGGGCGGGCCGGAAGGCGCGCCCGTGCGCGCCGGAGCTCCCCCTCGCGCGGCGCCGCCCGCCACCCCCTCTGCTGCGTGCGCTGCGCCGAACGCCGGCCTCTCCTCTGCGCAGGCTTCCCGCCCGGCTCAGAGAGGAGGAGCGCTCGGCAGGCGGAGGAGGCGCCGCAGGAAAATGCGGTGGTGCCCACGGTGCTGCAGTGGTCCCAGGGCGGCCAGTCCGTCTACGTGACAGGCTCGTTCAACGCGTGGGGCGAGCGCATTCCCCTGCGCCGCAGCGGCAACGACTGTGTCGTGTGCCTAAACCTGCTGCCCGGAACGTACCAGTACAAGTTCATTGTGGACAACGAGTGGCGCTTCGCGGCGGACCAGCCCACCGTGCGCGACGAGATGGGCAACATCAACAACTGCATCACCGTCGAGGACCAGACCTCCTTCATGCGCGAGGAGCAGCCGAGCGGCTTCTTCGACAACAACCAGAACCTCTACACGCAGGCGCTGCCCGACGAGATCACGCTCGCCAAGGAGCCGCCGCAGGCGCCCTCCCACCTCTGGTGCCTGCCGCTCAACTTTCCGCCGCTGTGCGAGCCGCACGTCGCCTCTTGGACGCTGCTGCCGCCGCTGGGCGTCACGCTCACGCACCTGCTCGCCGCGGCCGCCGACCGGAGCACAAACACCCTCTCGGTCACACAGAGGGTGCGCTCCAAGTTCGTCACCATGGTCTTTATCAAGCCCGCGCGCGGCTCTGCAGCGGACGCGCGGCTAGGGCCAGCGCCGGCTGGCGGGCAGGCGGCCGGCGGTGGCTTCGCGCTCCCGCAGCTGCCCAGCACCGCAGCCGCCGTCGCAGCGCAGCAGCAGCTCCAGCACCAGCACCAACAGCCGATGGACGTTGGCAGCAGACCAGCCTCGCAGACCGCCTTCATGGAGGTTGGGTGAGACGCGGGGATCCCACGTTAGTTTCCTCTCCCTTTTTATGTTGTCCGTGTTCGTCGCGAGGAGTACTGCGCGCGACTTATTTTGTAATACGTTGTGTAGAGGTAAACACAAAAAATGTACAGGGCAGGACCGGCGCGCGGCCCGCCCCCCGGCCCCCCCTCCCCCCCCCCCCCCTCGGGCTCGGCCTCGCGGGCCTCGGGGCTCGGCCCTCGCGCAGCACCCCGCCGCGCGCCGGCGGGGCCGCGCCCCGCCCCCGCGCCGCCGAGGGCCGTCCCGCTCCCGGGCGGGGCGCGCGCGATCGCTCACACGAGACGTGCGCCGGCGGCAAAGCAGCGGCAGAGCTGCGCCCAAGGCAGCTCTGCTGAGCTGTCCTGTGCGCCTTGGACCGCCTCGTCGCGGTCCGACTCGGTTTGCCCGGCCCCGTTCTCGTGCGGCGGGTCGCAGAGCGACTTGCGCGGCATCGAGCCGGGGAAGGGGCCAATCGACAAACGGTGGACGCCTCTCGCACGGTCCTTTGCGTCCGTCCTTCTTGGGGTGATGGATTCCGCCGGATATGCGACGTCGCACTGGGATTTGCGTTCGTGGTCTCGTATAGAAGCGTCCGTCGGCATTGAGGAGACGTCACCGAAGTCCGCTGCTGAATCACTGGTCCTGTCGCTGCCACACGGCTCCCCTGAGCCGAGCCGCTGGAAGATGTAGGGCCGCCGCCGCCGCGGCTGGCCGTCGCGCATCGCAGGGCTCATTACCTCCTCCGCCTCCGGGTCAGGGCTAGGATGGCGACTGCTCTCCGGATTAGAAGCCTCCTCCAGCGACGAGCGCGGCGGCGCCGGGAGCACCGCAAAGTGGGATGGCGGCACGAACGGCGCTCGTCGCGTGTGGGTCTGAGTGAGCGGCAGTGGTTTGGTCGTCCTCGCCGGACCAGGCTCTGGTGCTTCGCTGGCTTCGGAGTCGGTGTCTCCTGGGGAGGTGCTCGCGGTGACCGGCTCGCTAGCTTTGGACGACGGCGACTTTGGCTTGCGCGGCGACGTCAGGCGTGATATCGTTCGCAGCCTGAGGAAAACGCTCGGCATGCGCGCAGCGCGACGCCGACAATGCGTGTCCTCAATCTGATCGAAGCACGGGAAAAGAAACCAGAATATGTCTAGTCCGGGTAAATGATACAGGAAAGCGGCGATTCGCATTTCGCACGCACACACACTCACTCACACTCGGTCGAAAGACCCCAGATTGGCATCCATGCCTCTCTGGACAGGGTGGCCCGCCACACAAGGACCCGAGGAATTGCGACTCGCCGCTTTCCTCCCGCTGTGATTCTTCTGTGTGAGCTCTGTGTCTTGTCTTCAAGGTCGTTCCACACCACCGGACGTCGAGGTCCTTCGGTTCCTCGCCCTTCGGCCGCCCCCCGAACACGCCGCGACATGCCCCGATGAAGACGGCGCAACCGGAGGCGGGCGACGGCGTATTCTCGCGGGCGGCCGAGCTGCTCAACTCTGTGTTCAATCGGCCCAACGCTGACGAGGACGATGCCGCGCCTCCACCCCGGTCTCAGCGCGGCGCCAGCTTGCCTTCAAAGGCGTCATTGCGCATGAGCATCGCTCGGTTCGAGGAGGAAGGAAGGTTTTCGAGTGATGCAGTCGATCACGAGAAGATTCTCAGCAAGAGGGTGTGTCTCAACCGGGAGCAGGGCACTAAGTTCGCCTCGAATCGGGTCATCACCTCTCGGTACACCATCCTCACCTTTGTACCGCGGTCGCTCTTTTCACTTCTCAACCCGTTCAACCGCTTCGCGAACTTCTACTTTCTCGTCGTCGGCTGCCTGCAGGCCGTGCCTGCCATTACCATCACCGAGGGGCGCGCGGGCACCTTCATGCCGCTCTCGTTTGTGCTATTCGTCGACATGCTCATGCGCGCAATCGAGGACTACGCGCGCCACCGCTCGGACGCGGAGACCAACTCGAAGCCCGTCGACGTGCTGCACGGCACGTCCGCGCGGCCCGTGATGTCAGACGTGCCTATCGCGCCGTGGGATCTCGGCTATGATGACCGTGGCAGCCGCAACTCCTCGGTGGGCCGAAAGAGCGGCGCCATCGGGCCGACTGCCGCTGGGCCCTGCTGGCAGACGTTGCCCTGGGACAAGGTGCGGGTCGGTGACGTCGTGCGCGTCGGGAACCGGGGTGCTATACCAGCAGATCTCCTGCTGCTGGGCGCGTCGCCGGAGGCGGGCTCAGCCTGGGTCAACACCAAGCCCCTCGACGGCGAATCCGACACCAAGCTGCGCATGGCGGTCGCCCCCACGTCGCTGCAGCTTGAGGGGCTGCGCGGCCCGGAGGTAGCCGAGCGGCTGGCGCGGTTTGATGGGACCCTGCTGTGTGAGCTGCCGAACGACAAGGTCAACGACTTTGTTGGCCGCCTGCAACTCTGCCCCTCGGGTCCGCACAAATTCGGCGGCGCCCGCGTGACCGTCGATCGAGACAACATGCTCTTGCGCGGCTGCCAGCTACGAAACACAGAGGCGGCCTTCGGGATGGTCGTCTCTGCCGGCGTGGAGTGCAAGATCAACTTTTCTGGCAAAAAGCTCGGCGAGTTTGAGACCGAACGGACGGGCCACATTGCCTCCGCCGTCAACATCGACGTCGCTGGGGTGGCCGTGTTGCTGGTTCTGGTGTGCTGTGTCGGCGCCAGCGGGGCTATGATCTGGATGCGCGACGGTGGTAACCCCTGGTATCTCGCGCTCGACCCACCGCCGCCCGCCGTCGAGCCCTGGACCCTCCTTGAGACCACGTACCAGTTTCTCTGCCAGCTGGGTCGCTTCTTCCTGCTCTCTTACCAATTCATCCCAGTCTCGCTCTACGTGTCCATGTCCATGGTTTGCTCTTTCAACTCGTACTTCGTCACCAACGACCTACGCCTCTACGACGAGGAGCAGGATGAGCCTTGCCGCGTGCGCTCGATGGCGCTGCTTGAGGACCTTGGCCAGGTGACGCACGTCTTCTCGGACAAGACGGGTACTCTCACCGCAAACCACATGGAGTTTCGGCGCTGCCTCGTGGGTGGCGTCGCCTACGGCTCTGGCGCCACCGCCATCTCCGCCTTCCTTGACGCCCAGGGTCGCACTGGTCGTGCGACGGCGGCCACCGGTACTGCACCGCCGATATGCGCTCCCGGCGTCACCCCACCCGCGGTGGCGCCTGCGACGGCTCGCCCCCCGCCAGCTGGCCTCGCCGTGTGCAAGGCGACCACGGAGCCGTATGTCAACTATGAGGAGGCGGCTGGCTCGCCGTCGCTGGTGGAGCTGCTCCGGCAGCCGGAGCTGCAGGCGGCGGCGGCGGCTCGTGATCTCCTAATACACCTCGCGCTCAACCACTCGGTGATGCTCGAGCCCGTCGATGGCCAAGAGGACCTCTGCGCCTCGTCGCCCGACGAGCTCGCGTTCGTCTCGGCCGCCGAGTACTTTGGGATCGAGTTTACGGCGCGCGACGCCTCGCGCGGCCGCATCCAGCTGCGCGACAAGGCCTCGGGGGAGACGCTTGAGGTTGAGCTCCTCGACGTGTTCCCGTACGAGTCTTCGCGCAAGCGCATGTCGGTGGTGGTGCGGCTGCCACCCTCGCTCTTGCCGCCGGGTTCCAGCTGCCGTGAGGTGCTCTATTGCAAGGGCGCCGACTCAGTGCTTCTCAACGCCCTCGACGCTGACGCGCACGACCCGGAGCTGATTGAACACACCGAGTCGACGCTAGGCGAGTGGTCGGAGATTGCTCTGCGGACCCTCGTGTTTTGCCGGCGTGAGTTGCCGCACTTTGAGGAGTGGCGCAAGCGGTACGACAAGGCGCGCGAGGACCCGGAGGAGCTGCGCCGGTACCGCGCGGGCGATGCCTGTCGCATCACCGAACTCCAGGCAGAGCTGGAGACGCAGCTGACACTCCAGGGCGCCACCGCCATTGAGGACAAACTGCAGGACGGCGTGCCGGAGGTTCTGGCGGACCTGCGCGCCGCTGGCGTCAAGGCTCGCCCCACCTCCCAGCCTCACCCTGCCCACACGTGGCCTACAAACCAGCGTCACTCCCTCTGTCAAGGTGTGGATGCTGACGGGCGATAAGGTCGGCACGGCCAAAAACATCGCTGCGGCGTGCAATATCTTGCCCGCGTCGGTTGACCCGCTCGAGATCACCGAGGACGCGGTCCCGCCGCTGAAAGAGCTCACCACCGCGTCGATGCTCGCGGTGCACTACGAGAACCGACACCTGCTGACCGACGCGCTCGAGGGCGGCGACACGGAGCGTGCTGATGCTGAAACGGCGTACGAAAATGCCGTGATCCAGTCTCTTCAGCCAAAGTACCCTGTCGTTGCTGCCATCCGCCAGGCGCTCGAGGAGAAAGCAGCAGAGATGGCCAAATCGTCCAACTCGGCGCGCCACGCGCTTGTTATTGACGAGAGGGCAATCGAGCTGTGCGGTATGGCGATGCCCAAGCTGCTCGCGTCGGTAGCCAACGGCTCGCGCTCGGTCGTCGCATGTCGTGCGCGCAAGGACCAGAAGGCGCAGCTGCTCCAGCTCATCCGGAGGCGCGTGCCCGGCTCGGTCTGTCTCGGCATCGGCGACGGCGCCAACGACGTCGCGATGCTCAAGGCGGCGCACGTCGGTGTGGGGATCATCGGCAAGGAGGGAGCACAGGCAGTGAACAACTCCGACATCGCCATTGGTCAGTTCCGCTTCCTGCGCCCACTGATGTTCGTGCACGGGCGCAACATCTACCGGCGGCTGCCCGTGCTTGTGTTCTACATCTTCTACAAGAACATCATCGAGACGCTGGTGCAGTATTGGTTCACAACGTCCGCAGCCTGGTCGGGCGAGACGCCCTTCGTGCAGCTGGTGATTAATTGGTACAACATGTTCTATACCGCCATTCCGATCATCGCCTTCGCCTTCAACGACTCCGACCTCCCGGCAGAGGTCGCGGAGGCGTCCCCAGCCGCGTACCAGATCGGCCTAGCAGCGCGCTGGTACTCGCATCGTCGCTTCTGGCTCTGGCAGCTCGAGGCGCTGTACTTCTCCCTGGTGGTGCTGTACGGCCCCTTCCTCGCGCTAAGCGTTGCCGCGGCTCACACCCAGGACGGCGCGACGCCGGGCCACTTTGAGGTTGGTGTCGTTGTGCAGAACTTGGTCGTCGTGTGCGCGACGATTCGCCTTGTGCTCGAGCTGCACGTCATCACCGTCGTAGAAGTGGTTGCCTACGTTGGCTCCCTCATCTTCTGGGCGCTCAACCTCTACATGTTCAGCGAGGTCAACGCGCCGGCGGGCATGTGCTACGAGTGTTGGGGCCCGTGGAACGACGCAGCGACGGTCCTCTTGTCGCCAATTACAATGCTGACCTCCCTCGTACTTGGGGCGATCGTCCTGACGCCGCGCTGGGCGAGCAAGGCGTGGAACGCCGTCCGCGGCTCGGAGACGAAGGAGATGCGAGCGACCGCCATCGCTGCTGTGCGCCCAACCCGGCAGACGAGAGGACGCCGGACGAAGATGGCTAAACCGCCGATGATGCGCAAGTATTCGTCGAAAACGGCTGGAGAGGCGGGCTTCGCGTTCAGCGTCGACGAGAGGTCGGCGAGGAGAGCGCTCGGTTTTGATGCGAAAAGACCAGCGTGAGGAACGCGTGGCGGTGTGACGTGTGTGTGTCTCAGCATGAAGAAAATAAAACCCAAAAGATGAACACCTCCCGTCGCGGTGAGCCTGTCCCTGTGTCTTGTGTATGCCGTGGGAAGCCCTCGTTGCGTCGTTCTCGTTGCGGACGGCACAGGGTTGTCCCTGGTCGCTTCGTTTCATATTTTCCAACCCCTTACGCACTCTTCACACAGGGGCTCTCACAGCAGACTACAGTGTACAGCGGGGGGCGGAGTGCATATTTTCATGGTCCGTCCGAGTGCCCGCCGAGCCTCGGCACGGGTGCGCGCCCGGCACACACGCATCCGCAGGGACCGTGAGAAGGCTGACGTTGGAGATCGATGCTCATCGGCCCAATCGACTTCCCCGGCACGCCAGAGGGGCAGATAAGCTTCTCTGCTGAGGCTTACGGCGGCACTGCGGCAGTTAAGGAAGCCGCTATGATGACCGTGGCGGGCAGCGCGAGGCTGTACCAGGCATCATCCTCTGCGTGGAGCGAGCCTAGAATAGGGCGCCTGCATCTACTTGGCAAGCGCCTCCGCTTCAGCGTGGACCTTTCCAGGGTCGAATGCTCGTGTAATGCTGCAGTGTACCTCGTGAACATGCGCACGGCGTCATACTGTGACGCCAACACTGCACCGTCGTGCACGGAGCTTGACCTCCTCGAGGCCAACTTGCACGCGATGCAAACAGCCGTGCACACCACCACGGGCATAGGACGCGACGGGACTTGCAACCAGGACGGGTGCACTGCCGGTGTCGGAAGCAGCCCTGCGGCTGCAAGCGCTGGGGCTCGCGCTTTCTTTGGCATTGGCGGACGAATCGACACCCTCGCGCCGTTTGACGTAGTGGCTACCTTTGAGTCCTCGGGCCAGCTTGGCCTTAGCCTTGAGCAGTCCGGGCAGACAGTTCAAGTATATGACTCGTCACATGCTGGAAATGCGCCCGGGTCCCCGCCACTCACTCCGGAGGACATCGAAGCCTCACGCCGAGCGCTGGAGGATGGAATGACGCTGGTGGTCTCGCTTTGGCAGTCGCCTCAGATGGAGTGGCTCGACGGTGGTTGCTGGCCTAAATGCTCGCTCGAGTCCACCTCGTTTCGTCTTGGCCGTCTCAGCCTCGAGCCACTACAACCTCCCCCGGTGCCGCCGTCGCCGCCTCCTGCCTCGCCACCCATGCTTCCACCGTCGTTGCCGCCGCCACCACCACCACAACCACGGCTGCCCCCGCCGCCACCTCCTTTGCTGCCCCCATCATTGCCAGAGCCATCTCCGTCATCAGACCCACCAGCTCCACCAGCGACGCCACCAACTCCAACCGATCCACCGACGCCACCCGCCTTCCCTCGACCACCGAAGCAGCCTCCGGCGACGCCAAGATTACCACCTCGCCATCCACCCTCCCATCCGCCGTCTCGCCCTCTCCCGCCCTCCTCGCCGCCGCCCCCTTGGAGGTGCAGCGAGGCGCACACGCGCATGACTGGCCTGCGCTGGCCAGACCAGTGCGCCTCACCCGCGCGGGCCGCGGACCCGCTGGCATGCATACGTGCCTTCGAGACGCTCCGCAGGAGGCCCTCAGTGCACGTCCTTTCGTTGTGTGAGCATCGCGGTGGCCACTGCGTGCCTGGTCGAACTATCCAGTGCAGGTACGCGCCGCCCTTACCGCCATCGTCTCCGTCGCCCCTTACCCCGCCGCTGCCACCGCTTTCGCCACCGTCGCCACCACAGCCACCGCCTCCGGTGAAGCCACCGCCGTTGACGCCGCCGTTAACGCCGCCGCCGCCGCCGCCGCCGCCGCCGCCGCCGCCGCTGACGCCGCCACCGCCGATGCCACCAGCGTCACCGCAACCGAAGCCAGAGATGCCAACATCTTTTCCGCCTCTATCACCACCACGACAGCCACTTCCGCTATCAACCTTCCTTTCTCTGGCGCCACCGCTGCCAGACCTCCCGTTGCTACCACCCTCAAGACCGCCGGAGCACCCGACACAGCCTTCGACCTTGCGCTTATCGCCAAACGCAGCGCCTCAGCCTCCGCGACCATTGCCCCCGCCCCAGATATCACGACATTCCTCCCCGCCACCAGCCTCACCACTTCCGATCTCACCGCCACTGCCGCCGCCGCCAACACTGCCGCCGACGCCGCCGCCACCATTGCCCGCGCTCACGCCCTCACTAGCTCCTTCTTGGCCACTCGTGGCCCTTGGCAACGCCAACCCGGCGACCACATTTTTCGGTGCAGCGTTGTCGGCGCTCGTGGTTGCTATCTTTTGCCGCCGTACCAGCACGAGACGCGTTGTCTCGTTCCGCAACTTTGACGGTCGGGCGGCGCGGTACGGCCGTGCGATCTCGTCGGAAGAGACGACCATCTGGGGCAGTAAGAGAGGGTCTCTGAGCACTGCCACGGTGCCAGGCAGCGCTTGAGGAGAAGGCGGACAGGGGCTTTGCACGGAGCAGCCTAGGAGGTACAGCCTGTCCCGTGAGGTGGGACCATTTTTTGGGTCGATCCTCCCCCAGCCCCGCCTCTCACGCGTCTTTCTACTTTTTCATCTTTCGCAGCGGGAAGGAGACGGCCCGGCCCCGTCTCGCTCGCGCTCGCGCGCACGCGCGCGCGACGTGATTTTCGTGATGTGTGCCGTATATTACCGTTCCACATGACCGCTCAAAAATTTCGTCACTCACGACCTCTCTGAGATCCTATGCGTCCTCCCTGAGGCTGAGGCTCTGTTCTCTCGCTCTCACATGTGTTTCGTCCTTCGTCCTCTTGTTTATTTCGCCGTGGCCGGCGTCTCCTGGCCGGCCTTGGGCCAGACGCGCGCGCGCTGCTCTGGCGTGGCCTGCTGCTTGACAAGCCACAGGAAGACGCCGCCGGGCGTGCGGCGCTGGCCCGAGCCGTCGGTGCGGAGCAGCCCGCCGTTCTCCTCGACCTGCCACGCCTGCACGAGCAGCCCGCGGCACGCCTCCTCGCCGAGCACCTCGACCAGCCTGCAGATCTGCTCGACCGCCTCCTCCTCCGCCTCCTCGAGCGCCTCCGCGATGTCGCGCCCGACCTCGGCCGACTCGGCGCTCGGCGTGACCGGCGGCACCGCGGGCGCGGGGTTGTGGTGCCCGCGCAGCTGGCAGAGCTCGACCCAGTGCCCCGACTGGTTGCACTTGCGGCAGACGTAGCCAGGGGGAGGCGGAGGCCGCTCCGCCGCGCGCTCTCGCGGGGCGAGCGGGCAGTCGGCGACGAAGTGGCCGGGGACGTTGCATATTCTGCAGACGTAGCCGTCCGGAGGCCCGCTCCTCTTGCCCTTGGGACGCTTTGCGCCACCGCCGCCTCCGCCTCCTCTGCCGCCGCCGCCGCCGCCGCCCGCGCCCGCGCCCGCGTCGCTCGCGGCGTCGGCGGACGCGTCGTCCCTCGGCCGCTTGCTCTGACGCGGCAGCGGGCAGTTTGCGATCCAGTGGCCCGGCTGCCTGCAGTTGTGGCAGACGTAGCTCTCGGGAGGCACCTCGCTGCCGCGAGCCGTACCGCCTCTCGGGCCGCCTCTCGGGCCGCCTCTCGCCTCCCGGCCGACGGCCGGCCGTCTGCTCCCACCGCCAGCCGGCGCCGGCGCCCGTGCGGGCTTGGCCTGCCGCTTCTCGGCTGAGTGCTTTGCAAAGTCCGAGAGCAGCGCCTCGTACCCGCCGCCCGCCGCCGTCGACAGCCCGTAGGGCACCGCCTCTGTGTGCATCTGCACCGTCAGCTCACCGACGGCGCCAAAGTCGGACAGCTTGGCGGGCCGCCGCACGGAGGAGACGCGCGCCGCGGCGCCGCCGTCGGCGCTCGGCGCCGCCGCCGCGGAGCCTCCCAGCGCGGGCGGGGGCGCGTTGGGCAGCGTCTCCTGGTCCAGGTCCATCCAGCGAGGCAGCCGCACCGAGCGGACAAACGACTTGCGGCCACCCGCCGACGCGGCCGACGCGGCCGACGTGCCACTCTCCCGCTCGCCCTGCTCGCCGCCGCCGGCCGCGTCGCCCGCGACAGCCGCCGCGCCGTCCGCACCCCTCTCCTCCCCGGGCACGTCATAGTCGAGCAGCGGCCGCTGCGGGCGGTCGTTGCGCGTGACCGCCGTCCGCTCAAAGGCCATGCCGCCGAGCGGGTGGGCGACCTCCTCGAGGTCAGCCACAAGGCTAGTCAGGCTGGCCGCCATGGGCAGGAGGCAGGAGGCAGCGAGGTTGGACGCGTCCACGTCCAAACCGCGCTAGCACGGCCGCGTCGCCCAGCGGGGTAGAGGAAGAATTCTTTACGCAAGCAGCACGAAACGTCGGTGTCCAGACGGCTAGCGCACCACACTCCTCTCCTTAAAATCCCTGTGTGGTGGCGGCGTGCCGTTCTCCCATCCCTCCCTTGGGTTGTGTGTTTTCTTTCTTTCTTTTTCGGTGTCCAGTCCGAGCCTGACTGTTCTTCACCTTCCTACATACATACATACATACGACAAGGGCGCGGACTGGCGCGGACTGGCACACACACCGGCTCACCGAGGAAGAATTTTAGCAGGCCGCGCACGGGACTGGCGGTCTGGCGCGCACTGGCACTAACAAAACAAATTGCTAAAAATCTCTCTCTCTCTCTAACACAAGAACGTGGACCGCGCTCCGCGCACTGTGCGCAGTGGAGGTCTGTGGGATCTCAAACCCCGCCCTACCTACCTATCCACCCCCCCCCCCCTGGAGCGCGAACCCCAGACCCCCCTAGACGGCTAGGAGATACGAAGGTGAAGAAGCCGACCCAAGGAGCCCGGAAGGAAGAAACGCCCGCCGCGCAGCGCATGCGAGGGGCGTTGGGGCGGCCGGGTTGCACACCATGGGCTCGAGCCCCCTCCCGAGCCCGCTCGGCCGGGCCAGCCCGAGCGGCAGGCTGAACGCGAGCGGTAGGGTGAGCCCGGGCGGGCGAGCCTGCAGCCCGGGCGGGCGAGCCTGGAGCCCGAGCGGGCGAGCCTGGAGCCCGAGCGGGCGGGCCTCGGCAGCCTTCGGGCTGAGCAGTCCCAAGCGGCCGCACCAGCTTCGCGCGAGCCCGATGCCGCGGCCCATGGCGACGCGGCGGCCGCCCCCCATTTGGACGGCGGCCAGCTTCGGCGACGACAGCGACAGCTCGTCCGCCTCGCCATGCATTGTGCGCGCTGACGCGGAATGCGGCAGCACCGCGGCGCGGGCCGGGCCGGCGCGGGGTTACAAGCGGGCGCGAGGGGGCGCCTTTGCGGCGCAGCACCGCGCCACCAGCCTCGGCGGCGAGCTCGGGCACGTCTTTGGGCGGCTGTACGTCGGGTCGGCGGCGGCGGCGGGTTCGCGGCGGCTGCTCTCGGCGCACGGCATCACCCACGTCCTCAACTGCTGCCGGCTTCCGAATGCGCTCGAGGGTGCCGAGGGTGCACCCTCCTACCTGCAGCTTCACCTCTCGGACTCGACTGCCGACGGGCCGAGGATGGCGTCCGCCGTGCGGCGGGGCGTCGCCTTCGTCGACTCCGCTCTCTGCAGCGGCGGGGGCGTGCTGATCCACTGCCACCGAGGCATCTCCCGCTCGTGCGCGCTCGCCATCGGCTACGCCGTCTGGCGCGAGCGAATCACCGCCGAGGCCGCGCTCGAGCTTGTGCGGCGCGCGAGGCCGCAGTGCGACCCGAACCTGAGCTACCTCTGCGCGCTCAAGGAGTGGGAGCGGCAGTGCCTCGGCGGCGCCGTCTCGCCTCCCGCCGCCGCGCCCGCGCCGGTACCTGTCGGAGGGCGGTCGCTCTCCGCCCCTCTCGAGCGACCGGCGGAGGGCGGCGGCGCCCTTCCCCGCGGCTGCGCCACTCTGCCCCGCTGGCCGAGCGGCGGACACGACGCCCCAAGTACGCGCCGGCCCTTGCAACGCACAAACAGCTTCTGACGCAGCCGCGAGCGCCCGCGCCACAAGATGCTGCCTATACTCGGTGACTGGGCGTCTGCGGCGCCGTTTGGACGCACGGCACGGTGCCCCTTCCCGCCATCACCTCGGCCACCTCAAATTCCCCCCGACCCAGTTCACATCTCGGAGCCGGCGCCGAGCCGCCCCTGCGCCGTACCGCCCTGCGGCCCCTTGTGAAGAAGCTCGATCGAAGAAGCTCGATCAACACGTGTGTGCGTGTACGAAGGTCGTAGCGTGTTTTCAATTATTTTTTACCGCGTGATTATATCTCAAACACTCAAACCCAGTGCTCGAACTTTACCGGTATGAGACCGGTATTTGGTGATATTTTGATTAACTTTGAAGTGGTATGGTATAGTGGTACGCGAAAGTGGTATGCGGAGTGTTGATTAGTTGATTAGTGTAGCGGCTGTGGGTGTGGTCCCAGGAGGCGAAGCCATGCAAAAGTGCGGGTAAATAAATAAAAACGGTCAAACTCTGAGACGAGATGGGATTTAGGGACATGTGTCCCCGCCCTGCACGATCTTGGTGTGAGGGATCTTCAATCCGTCCCCTCACCCCCTGGTCACTACCCGACACTAGAAGAGCAGCAAGAGTTGGGGCTGCGGCTACGGCTGCGGCTGCGGGAGGGGCTATGGTCGCGGGAGAGCCGCTGCGCCGCGTGGGCGCGCCTACACCGCGCTTGCTCCGCTCGCCACCTCTCGCAAAGGTCCAAAGTCATAGCCATCACCTCCTCCGGCAAGTCCTTTTCGCCTATCTTGCCGTCCCTCCATGCCTGGTAGAGCTCGTCGTCATAGCCATATTGCATCACAGCCTGCTGCACTGCGTCGTGCACAACCCCTGCCACCCTATCCCGCGCCTCAGCGTCGGAAAATTCGAGCTCGGAGTCATACCCGGAAGCAGGCGCAGACGGCCGCGGCGATTTGGCAGGCGGCGAGGTGGGGGAGGGAGAGCGCGGCGGTGCGCGCTCGTGGCTCCCGCTGGTGCCAGAAGGGCCAGCGCCCAATGCGCTCAGCCTGTTCTTGTCCACCACCTTGGGAGAAGGGGGTGGGGGTCCACCTCCCTTGGGTGCGGGCTTGCGGTGTTCCTGCTTCCGCTTGCCCGACTTTGGCGGGTTGCGGCCGAAGTTCCTCATGGTGAACCTGTCCGGCTTGCCGCCCTTCCCGACCCTCGTCCACCCCTCGGGCGACTCGTTGGGCCGGGGTTGCTGCGCCTGTTGGTGCTGCGAGTGTGCCTGCGATGCTGCGGCCGGAGCGGCAGCGGCGGCAGGCGGTGCCACGGGCGGTGCGGCGAAAGTGGCGGTAGGCTGAGGCTGCGCAGCGTTCTGCGCGGCCTGCTGCCTGGCCTCATCCTCCCGCCTCTTCTCAGACTTGGCCTGGATGATGTACTGATACCCAAGCGGCACCGGGTTGATGCTGACGGAGTGCCAACCGTACCTCTCCATGCGCTCCGCGAGACAATCAATCATCGCGTGGTCGCGTGGCGACACCTTCTGGCCGAAGACGCGCTCGACCATCCGGATCTGACGCACGTGGAACGGCTCCAGGCCCGGCATGGAAGCCTCGGAGTCGGACATGGCCCCGTTTCGCCGTTTTAGAGACTCGTGACATTTATTACCCGGGTATACCCGGATTTTTGCAGGTATATACCCGCAAAATACCGGGTATTTTGCCGATTTCGCCGATTTAGCCGCAAAAATGCACTCGGACTCGCTTTGGTTTCCGTGAGGCAGGTGGTATCCCATACCACTTTTTGATTAGTGCAGGCCTAGGGTTTGATTAGCCAAAAACTCCCATACCGGTAAAGTTCGAGCACTGCTCAAACCTCTCTCGCCGCGGACACATCGCCCACGCCCAACACCGGCGCGCGCCGGCTCGTCGACGAGTCGCAGCTCGAGCGCGCGCGGATCTTGCGCGCGGCGCCGCCGGGCCGCCGCTCACGCCGCTCACCGGCTCGAGCCCTGCTCTGCCTCTCTCCACCCGCGCTCGTGACGCTGTCGAGAGCGGGGCCCCGCGCGCCATTCGGAGGAGGCACGCGCTGACGCGCATCGACTCAGAAATAGCGCGTGCCGAAGACTCGCTCATCGAACTCGACCTTCCACGCCTCCCTCGCCCTCGCGGCCACGGCCTCGCCGCGGCGGTCGACAGAAGTGCGGTTCATGCGCGGGTGGTACGGCGGCTCGAGCACCGCGCGCTGCGCCTCGCTCGCCCCGTCGAGCACGCTCTCCGGCCAGCTGGGCAGGTAGCCGCGCCCGTACGCCGACCTATCACACGCCGCGGACGCGTCGTGGGCAGGTCCTGGCCGTGGCGGGAGCCGCGCCGGTGCACCGACCCTGCGGGCGCGAAGCGGTAGATGACTGTGCGGCGCTGGTGGGCTGCCGTCCAGGGAAGGGTGCCGTGCAGCGTCGCCTCGCTGAAGAGGAGGCAGTCGCCCGGCTGCAGCGCGGGCTGCACCACGCAGCTCGCGAGCGCCTCGTCCGCCAGGTCCGCGAGCGAGGGCGGCACCGGAAAGTTGGACTTGTGGCTGCCCGGCACGGCGCAAAAGCCGCCTGCGCCCTCCGGCGCCGCGCTCAGCTGCATGCACACCGTCAGCAGCTGGTTGCGCATCTGGCCGTGCCTGCACTCGTACGCGAGCGGCCAGGCGGGCTCGCCGGACTCGGTGACTGCGCCGCCGTGCAGCGTGTGCCCCTCGCTGCCCCGCTCCTGCGCGATCAGCAGCGGCGAGTGGTCGAGCCGGTAACCGACGCCCACGAGTTCGTTGAGAGCCCCCGCGACGGCGGGGTGCGTCAGAAGCTCGCGGAAGGGCTCTCGGTGCGGCGCCCTCCAGCCGAGCATGCCGCCCATGTCGAAGCGCCCCGTCGTGCCGTCGCCTGCCAGCTGGGCCGACTCGCGGCCGTAGAGCCCAGACGTCCGCAGCTGGCCGGTGCGCTCGTGTAGGGTGTCTGCGTGGTGGTCGATGGCGCCGTTCGCCCGCGCCACCAAATCCGCGTCGAAGGCGCCGCGGATCACGAGGAAGCCGTTGAGGTCGAACATGTACTTTTGCGCCGCAGTGAGCCCGGCCTCGGCAAGCGGCACGTCGTGGCGGTTGCGCAGCGCCGCCGACGAGAGGTGCCCAGAGTGGCCGACGCCAGCGATCGTGGAGGAGAGCCGGCGGCGGGCAGCGCGAGCGGACGCGGCGAGGGGTCGTGGCACCGTCATCGGCGAGGCTGAAAAAAAGAAATAACGCACGGGTCAGCGGAGCTGGGAATAGGACCGCCGCAAGCGGCGTGGCGTGGAGCGGTTGAGCCGTCGCCCACCCTCGGGCGTCTATCTTCGCAGTTACCTACTCAGTTTCTCACCTCGCAGCGACCTTCATGCCAGAGAGAGAGAATTCTTGATACGAAACCACGACGACACACACCAGTCGACTCGCATCGGTTGCCTCCATGAACGGCGGAGCTATTCTCGCGCCCACACCACACCTGGCTCCAACGTGGACACGCCCATAGCTGGGGACACTACTAGGTCACGCATGGCATCACAGAAGTTTTATCTCTGGGCCCCGAAAGGCATCTCTAGCAGTGTCGTTACACATGCCCCCTCCCCTCCTGGGCGCATGCGCCTCACGTCTCGCCAGAGCATAAGCCCTTGGCGTGTGGCGAGACGAGTTTTTCGCCATCGCAGCGAGCAGCAAGCCGCCCGCCGCAAACAGCCGGAGGCATCGCCACGGCACTGGCTGCGCCGCGGTCCCGCACCCGTCGACGCAGCTCCCCCCGCGGAAGACCGCGCGTAGCAACGTCTTGACGATCGAGATGAGCGTGCCTGAAGCTCGCCCACCTACTGCCCCTGAGAGTTGGTTATTGAGTGGGATCAGCTCCCCCCCTTGGGATCGAAGCCGCCACAACCTCACACCCAACATCCCAGGCGGGATCAGAAGGGGACTCCACTCTCTCTCTCTCTCCTTCATGCCACCTCTCGTTCTTCCCACTCTCGTCCTTGTTCTCTCTCCTGCTGTTTCATCCTCTGACTCATCGCTCTCCTCGGCCTCGTTCTGAGACGCCGCTGCCGTCTGCCTTGCTCTCGCTGCTTCTCTCGCCTCTCGTAACTCCGCCCTCCTCGCGGCATAATTTGGCCCCTCGAGTTTATCGAGCTCCCCTCGCGCAAGGACCAAATTTCTCCACTCTCGTTTCGAGCTTAGAAGGCTCGCCACAGTCGAAGGGGCGCCGAATTTCTTTTCCTGTCTTGCGGAGAAGCCGCGCCCGGGCGAGAAGAGGCCCAGTGCACCAGGGTACCCTCTCCGAGGAAATATTGGGCTCCAAGAGAGCTCGAGTGTCGTGTGTGCTACGCCCACGTACCGCAGCGCGACCACACCACAGAACACCACTCGACTTGGGATGGCCGCCGCTGGCGCGGGCGAGTCGGCTGCCCCGGCCGAGGCCTCCAGTCGAATCTGCGTCAAGGGCCTGCCCAAGCGCTGCGACGAGAGGCGGCTGCGCGAGCACTTTTCATCGCGCGGCGCCGAAGTGACTGATGTGCGCATCATGAAGACAAAGGAGGGGCGGTCGCGGCTCTTTGGCTTCGTCGGATTCCGCACGCCTGCGGAGGCGGAGGAGGCGCGCAAGTACTTTGCTCGATCCTTCATCGACACCTCGCGCATCTCCATCGAGGCGGCCAAGTCGCGAGGCGACGCGACGCTCGCCCGGCCGTGGAGCCGCCACTCCAAGGGCTCGTCGGCCTGGGCGCGCGCGAACCCGACGGACAAGGCGCCTGCCGAGGGCGAAGGCGGCGCGTCGCCGGCGCCGGCGGGTGCGGCGTCCTCCAAGTCGGCGCGCGCCGAGGCGCCGGGCGCAGAGAGCCGCGACGCCAAGCTCGAAGAGTTTCTGGGGCTGATGCAGCCAAACTCGAAGAAGAGGATGGCGCTGTGGTCGAACGACGACCGGGGCGGGCCTGCGGCGGGAGGCAGCGCCGGCACGCCCGCCAACGCTGACGCGACGGCCGAAGCAGAGGGCAGTGATGACGACTACGACGACATCGAGGCGGGCGCGGAGAAGGCTGCGGCGGAGGAGGCTGCGGCGGGCGGCGACGGCGCGGAAGGCGGCGATGCCGCCGCTGACGACCCGTGGGCCGCTGAGGCGGCGGCGGCGAGCTCGGGTATCGACCGGTGGAGGGCGGGCGGCGCGCGGCGCGAGGAGGAGGAGGAGGGCGAGGAGGCTTGCGGGAAAGCGGGCGGAGAGGCGGGGGAGGAGGAGGAGGAGGAGGAGGAGGAGGAGGAGGACGGGGAGGGGGAGGAGGAGGGCGAGGAGGGCGAAGAGCAGGAGGGCGGCGCCTCTGCGGCGGGCGGCGGCGGCGGCGAGGGGGACGGCGGCGAGGGGTTGTGTGTGGACGGGCTCGACGAGGGGCGCCTCTTCACACCTGCAGCTGTGAACAGGTGTGGACGGGCTCGACGAGGGGCGGCTCTTCGTGCGCAACCTTCCGTACAGCAGCAGCGAGCCGGAGCTGCAGGAGCTGTTCGGCGCCTTTGGGCGCGTGGACGAGCTGCTGCTGCCCCTCGACGCAGAGACGCGCCGCGCCAAGGGCTTCGCGCACGTCACCTTCTCCATCTGCGAGCACGCCGTCCGCGCGATGTCCGAGCTGGACGGCTCGACCTTCCAAGGCTGATATAGCCCAGATATAGCCGAGATATGTCCGAGCTGGACGGCTCGACCTTCCAAGGCGAGATCACCCGAGATTACCCGAGATTACTCGAGATCACCCGAGCTGGACGGCTCGACCTTCCAAGGCGACGCGCCTCCAGAGAGAGAGGGGGGCGCCCTCCGGAGATGCGGACGAGAGGAGTCTCGCTTGTGATGCGAGGCCCAAGGCCTGGCCTTAGCCCCCTCTCAACCCCGGAACCCAACCCTCAGGCCGCATCCTCCACGTGATGCCCGGCCGCGCGCGCGCCCGCCCGGCGGCAGAGGCGGGCGGCGCAGCGGGCGGGACGAGCTCCTTCAAGCGGAAGCGCGAGGAGGCGCAGAAGGCGCAGGCGGGCTCGAGCCACAACTGGAACCCGCTCTTCATGCGCGCCGACGCGGTCGGCGAGGCGATGGCGGAGCGGTACGGCGTCGACAAGCGGCAGGTGCTCGACAGTGAGGGAGGAGGCTCGCTGGCGGTGCGGCTAGCGCAGGGCGAGACGCACCTGCTCAGCCGGGCGAGGGAGTGGCTCGCCTCGAGCGGCGTCTCGCTCGAGGCGCTGCAGCGGCTCGCCGCGGGCGAGGGCGGCGGCGCGGTGGAGCGATCGCAGACGCTCCTCCTCGTCAAGAACATCGACTCGAGCGTCTCGCGCGAGGAGCTGAGCAGCCTCTTCGCGAAGCACGGCCAGCTCGGCCACGTGCTGCTCGCGCCGGGCGAGACCTAGCCGAGACCTCGCCGAGACCTAGCCGAGATCTAGTCGGCCAGCTCGGCCACGCGCTGCTCGCACGCCGGGCGAGCACACCCTCCACCCCCACGCAGGCCCCGCCCCCCGCCCTCACACCTCGCCCCTCGCCCCTCCCAGGCAACACGCTTGGCCTCGTCGAGTTCGTCGAGGTCGGAGAGGCCAAGCGCGCCTTCCGCGCCCTCGCGTACAGCAAGCTGCGCGGCGCGCTCCTCCCACCCCCGCCTCCTCCTCCCACTTCCTCCTCCCGCCGCCTCCTCCCGCCGCCTCCTCCCGCCGCCTCCTCCCGCCGCCGCCTCCCGCCTCCTCCCGCCGCCGCCTCCCACTTCCTCCTCCTTGCCCTGCGCCGGGCTCACCTCCTCCCCCCCCGTCCCAGGCGTGCCCCTCTTCCTCGAGTGGGCGCCCACCGGCGTGCTGCAGCCCGCAAGCGCCGGCGCGGAGCAGACGGGCGGAGCGGCCGCGCCCGCCGCGGCCGGTGCCGCCGCCGCTGAGGAGGAGGAGGAGGAGGAGGAGGGCGGCGGCGGGGAGCGCACCATCTTCGTGAAGAACCTCAGCTTCAAGACCACGTCGGAGGGGCTGAAGGCGTGCTTCTCGACCAACGGCTGGACGGTGCGCTCGGCGACGGTGGTGCAGAAGCGCGACCCAAAGGCGGCGGGCCGCACCCTCTCGATGGGGTACGGCTTTGTCGAGTTTGGCTCGGCGGCGCACGCGCACGACGCGCTCCGCCGCATGGGCGGCGTGCGGCTCGACGAGCACCTGCTGCAGCTCAAGCTCTCGAGCCGCGAGCGAGCAAGCGGCGAGCGAGCCGCCGCCGCTTCGTCTGCGCGGCGCGCGCCGTCGGGAGAGGGCTCTGGTCGCGCCGCGGGTGGGCTGAGCCGTGCCGTGCCGTGCCTCGTAGGCGGTCTGGCGGCAAGGCGCGCGGCGAGGGCGGCGAGGGCGGACAGCCCGAAGGCAAGTCGCGCGCGAGCAACAAGCTGGTCGTGCGCAACGTGCCCTTCGAGGCGAGCAAGAACGAGCTCAAGGAGCTCTTCTCGGCGTTTGGCGTCCTCAAGACGTTGCGCGTGCCCAAAAAGTTCGACGGCTCGCACCGCGGCTTCGCCTTCGTCGAGTTCGTCTCCAAGGCGGAGGCGGCCAAGGCGATGGAGGCGCTGCAGTCGACCCACTTGTACGGCCGCAAGCTCGTGCTCGGCTACGCCAAGAAGGAGGAGTCGGTCGAGGCCATGCGCGCAAAGCTGCAGAGCCAGCAGGGCGGCGGCAGCAAGCGACGCAAAGCCGCCGACGGCGATGACGCCACCGGCCTGGAGGAGGACCCTGAGGCGTTGCTCGACTTTAGCCTGTGAGAGTCTTACTCAGCTTTTTTATTTTCTCGTTATTGTTGGTCATGTGTGTGGGGCGCCGCGGCGCGCCACCGCCAGCGGGCGCCGGGCCAGTGACTCGCGGCCAGCGGCCAGCTAGCGCACGTGGGACCGACGTGCGGCCCCCGGCCGCCGGTTCCCGGGCTTCCGCGGTCGACGCCGGGCGATATCGAGCGTCATCCGCGGACCGCGGTGCGCCGCGCCGCGCACGCCTGTATGTGCGGTGCGCCGAGACGGCGGCTGGAGGGCTGCTGGGTCGTGCCGACGGCGTCCACGCCGTGCGTGATGACATACATTTTTACGTTCCGCCCCTCTCAAAACTCCACCTCCCCTCGTGACGGCGGCGACCCCTTGGGCGGGAGCACGTACGGTCTCTGCGGCACCTCGTCGGCCCACCGGCGGAGGCTCTGCCTCAGGTTGGGAGGCCACTCCGGCCGGTTCTCCGCCACCCACCCCGCGTCCCGAAAGGCGACGCACGAGAGGCTCGGGTCGACCTGCGCCAGCTCGTTGCCCGCGTCGCGCCGCTCGACCTCGCCCTCGCCAGTCTTGTACCAAAAGTACGACGAGCCCGGCCGCTGCGTCACGTACGGGTTGGACGGGTCCAGCCCGTTCAGCCTCGCGTTGAGGTCGCTGTTTGGCGTGAGCGCGCCGAGGGGCTGAGAGCGGACGCTCTCGGCGCGCAGCGCCTTGGCCTCCCTCCCCGTCGCCTCTGCCTCGCGCGCCTCCTGCGCACGCAGCTGCTGCTCCGCCGCCAGCCGCTCCTGCCCGTCGATCACGTACGTGTCGAGCCGGATGCAGCCCGCCTCCCACTGCCGCGTCGCCTCGAGCAGCTTGCTCTGCGTGCCGTACAGGTGCGCCGCGTACGCGACGTGCAGCTCCGCGTCCTTGAGCGTCAGCTCCTGCAGCAGCGGGATGTCATCCGGGTTGTTGCTCGCCGGGATGCCGCGGCTCCGAAAGACGTACCGCATCTTCTCCACCGCAGCCTCGAGCTCGCCGGCGCCGTAGCTGGCGATCGCGCCGTCCGCGGCGGCGATGGTGCGCCGGATCTTGTCGCCAATCTCCTTGAACTGGATCTCGGCCAGCTCGAGGTCCTCCGTGGCGCCGCCGTACTCGCCCACCGCCATGCGCGCCCTCCCCCGCTCGGAGAAGAGGTACGGGTTCGTCGCTTCGATCGCATCGAGAGTGTCGAGCCTCGAGATGGCGGCGGACAGGTCGTCGATCTGAGCCCGCTTTGCGCCGAGAGCCGCATTCACACGCGCTCGCAGCTGGTAGGTTCGCTGCACCTCCGCGGGGTCGGGGCGGCTCCCTGGCGCGTCGTACAGGGCCAGCGCCCGCGACAAGTCCTGCCGTGCCTCGTCGAGTCGCGAGGCCTCCTTCCGGATTCCGCCGCGCGTCTTGTACAGCGCCGCCACCTCGTCCGGCGGCTGCTTGGTCTTCTCCCACTCCGCGATCGACTGGGAGAGCAGGCCGTCGGCGCGCGCGTACAGCCCCGCCTGCGCGGCGGTAAACCCCTTCCGCAGCACGGCCTGCGCTTCCGGCGTCGGCGAGGCGGCGAGGCACGCATGCGGAAGTGGCGTCAGCGAGACGGCGGCGGCCGCGAACATGGAGACCACGCCGGTGGGGAGGCGCGTTGTGCACTCGTGGAGGAGGCGCATTCGTGTGCTCGCAGCGCGGTCTCGCAGTGCTGTGCTGGCAGCGCGGGTGCCCAGTGGAGTAGCCAGCGGAGTAGCCCGACTGTCACGCTTGTTCGCGGCAATTTCTCAAGAAGAAGAAAAAACGGTCGCTGGTCCACCACCGCACCACGCGCAGCAGATAAAAAGAAAGAAAGAAAGGACACCCCAAGGGAGGGATGGGAGGACGGCACGCCGCCACCACACAGGGATTTTAAGGAGAGGGGTGTGGTGCGCTAGCCGTCACCCACCGACCCTTGGGCGTCCGCCTCTTCCTATCTCTCTTCGCAGTCTCTCTCCGATTCTCGCTTCAACCGCTTTGCACGCTCTGCATCCCCAGAACGCACTTCGTGTGGTGCGCTAGCCGTCGCCCACCCTTGGGCGTCTGCGTCTTCCTATCTCTCTTCGCAGTGTCCCTCGCCGATTCTCGCTGCAACCTTCATGCCACCTCGCGGTCTTCCCACTCTCGTCGTTCTCTCTCTTGTCGCTTCTTCCTCTGTCGCTTCGCTCTCCTCTGCCTCGTTCTGCGACGACGCCGCTGCCTGCCGATCCCTTGCCCTCGCCTCTCGGCGCAACTCTGCCCTCCTCGCAGCATATCCTGGCCCCTCGAGTTTATCGAGCTCTCCTCGCGCAAGGACGACTCTTCTGACGCCCACTGCGACCATTTGCCGCCAAGTCATATCGTTGCTCAGGTCCACTCTCTCTTCGGACACTTGTACCTCCACGCGGCTGATGCTCTGGCGCTGGGGTCCCCTTCGGGTGCATCGTGACAGCTGACGGCGGGATTTCCACTGGCTCGTCCTCCTCAGAGTCGTCTTCCCCGGCTTCCTCCCGTTCGGCTCTACGTTCAGTACGTTCAGCGTGGCTCACCCTCCATGCCGTGAACAGGCGCTTTATCCACCCTATATTCTTCTCTCGTTCCTCTGCCCTTGCCTTGGTCTTGTCGTTGTTTCGCATCCATGTCTGTATGGCGATCGAGGCTGCCTTCCCCACTACCTGTAGTTCTCTCGTCACCTCTCCTGCGAGCTCCCCTCTCTTTCTTTCGGGTATGGAGTCCGTGAGTGCGGTCAGCGTGCAGGCAATCACGGGCGCTATTTTGTCGTACTCCTCTTCGGCGAGCGCTCCGAATCTAGAGCCCATTGCCTTTAAGGAGGCTGCCCTCGCGCGTCTCAGGAATGTGGCGGTGTCTTTTGAGTCAGGCGCCTCCCGTTCGACTCTTGCTGTCGCCCTCGCTGTGTGTTTGTCAAGCTTCGCCGCATAAAGAGGCGCGCCTCCTCCTTGTTCCCAGCGCAGCTGCCGCTCAGTATGTGCGCCAACGACGCCTGTGGTGGCTCACTGTCTTCTCGTGTCCAGTCGTCCCAGTGTCTCTCCGTTCTCCGATTCTCCTCCTTGCCTCGCGCGCCTCTTTTGTGGCCTCATCCCTAGCTAGCCGCCTTGCACGCTCTGCATCCCCAGAACGCACTTCTCGTGGCGGGGCCCCTCATTCCCCGTTTCGTTTCCCCCCCTAGAATACGCCTGTGGTGCGCCCCGTGTGGCACCCCGACCTGGTGTCTCACCCTGGCTCCCAAGATCGTGCGCCGGGCGTGAAAATTTCTCGTCCGGGGTTCGGACTTTTTGCGGGGTATGGTATGGTAGGGTCGGCGCCCTGGCGCCGCGACCATACCCCCCCACCCGCACAGGACGTCGCCTCTGGCCAGCAGGACCATACCCCCCCACCCCCCACCCCACCACACGAGCGCGTACAGTAACCGTCGTGTTAGGCCGTCCGGTCGTGCGGCACGTGTTCGCGCGATGCAGTCTGCGCGAGGTGACCCGCCGGCAATCGTGCTCACCCCTCAGAGCATGTCCGCAAAGGCCGCCAGGGCCTTGCGTGCCGGCGCAGGCGCGGGCGCAGGCGCGGGCGCAGGCCGGTGCGAGCGCGGGCGCGGGCGCGGGCGCGGTCTCCGCCGGCGCCGCCTCCGCCATGGTCACCTCGGGCGCGGGCGCGGGCGCGGTCTCCGCCGGCGCCGCCTCCGCCATGGTCACCTCCGCTGGAACCATGGTCACCTCCGCTGGAACGGCCTCCGCCTCCGCCGCCTCCGCTGGCGCCACCTCCGCCTCCGCCATCGCACGCCGCCCTCCGCGCCATAGCTGGCCAAAGGCACGCGCACGAGCGGTACGCGCGCCAACAGCTCATGCCCCGCGCGCTTCGCGAGCCACGACGGCGATTTGAATCGAAAGGCAGAATCAAAGACATCGGCATCGAGCGCCGCGTTGAGGTCCGAGAAGAAGGTGGAGCGCGCGTGGACGAGACTCGCGCAGGCCTCGCGATAGAGCTCGGTCCGTCCTGCAGGACCATCGTGGCGACAGTTTTGAGCGGCTTCAGCTTGCTGAGATCGTGGTCGTCGCCACGGAAAGCGTCGCTTGTCGGAAGCCTCCCGTCCATCATGCGGACGGCATGCGGTGCAATCGCAGCGTCGAGCTGTGCGATGCAAGACGCAAGCGTACCAGCGCAGCAGCTGCGCACAGCGGCGCGCTCGGCGTCGTCGGGCAGCGAGCTGTCCAGGAGCCGAAGTTGAGGCGGCGTCGCGGCGAGAAGGCCCGCGACAGTATCGAAGCGGCCGGGGCCGCCGTGAGTCGGCATCGTGTCCGCGGCTGTGTACGGCGGCTGTGTACTGGGTTCGAACCCTGTTGTAACGTGGCCGCTCCAGCGATTGACCATACCCCCCCACCCGTCGAGCAGGCCGCCTCCGGCGGCCAGGACCATACCCCCCCACCCTTTTGGCGCCGACCCTACCATACCTTACCCCGCAAAAAGTTGGAATCCGGAGCCAGCCTCGACGGCATGCGCCACCTCTTCGCGTTGGCGGCTCTCGTCGCCTTCGGCGCCGCGGCCGAGTTGTGCACCGGCGACCAGTGCCCGGTGCCTGCCGGCGCGCCGGGCCAGCGGGTGGACGACTCTTCCGAAGACGACTTTGTCGTGCTCAATGAGGATGACTCGGACCTCGACGAGGACCTGATTGGAGAGAGAGAGGAGGCCGGCGGTGGAGCCGAGGCGGCGTCCGAGGCGGCCAAGGCGGGGGCCTCGGAGCCGGCCGCAGAGGCGGAGGCAGAGGCGGAAGCGGAGGTTGCGATGGAGGCGAGCGTGGAGAGCGACGGTGACGCGGCGTGGAGGGAAGCGGCTGCCCGGAAGGAGGCGCGCGCTGGCGCCGCGCCGGCAGCGGAGGCGGCAGGGGAGGCGGAGGCGGAGTCGAAGCAGCCGGAGGCCGGAGCGGAGGCGGCACCGGCGCCAGAGGAGGCGGCGGCGGAGGCGGCGGCGGCGGCGGAGGAGGCGGCAGAGGCGGCAGAGGCGGCGGCGGCAGAGGCGGCGCCGGCGGAGGTGGCGCCGGCGGAGGCGGCGGCGGTGACGTCCGGTGCGGTCGCAGGCAGCAAGCTGTCGCAGAGCAAGGTTGCGGGCGGCGCGGGCGTCGCCGCCACCGCTCCGCCCGGCGCTTACTCGAACGCCGACCTCGAGGCGGACCTGGCGGTGGTGCAGGTGACCGCGCACCTCGGGCTGGTGGACAAGCTGCTCGACGCGCTCGCGAACGTCACCTTCGGGCTGGGCGACACCGACCGCGACGGCTCGCTCTCTCGCTCCGAGGCGGCCTCCTTTGCCACCTCGCACCTGGTCGAGACGTCTCCGCTCGGCCGCACACTCGGGCTGTCCGGCGGAGAGCTGCCGCTGCAGGACGGCGCCAAGGTGCGGGAGGTGGTCGAGACCGTCTTCGCCGCCTGCGACGCGGACGCGGACGGTGCCCTTTCCCCCGCGACGAGGCGGGGCCCTTCCAGGACACGTCCAGGATACGTCCCTGACTGTCAGTTAGGCGCTCTCTCCCGCGAGGAGGCGAGGGCGAGGCCGTGCAAGGAGCACATGCTCGCCCTGCTGCAGGCCTCCTCCCCCCAGAAGCGCCTAAATGAGTAGTAGGTATCTTTCCTGGTTGGTTTCCTTGATTTTGCTACGGCTCTTCGTTGCCGCTATGTATTAATTTTTTTACGATCGTGTTTGCTTTGTCTGTTTAGCTGTCATATTAATTTTCCTGGCCTCTGTTCTGT